TACTGACCATAATCAATATCCCAAGTGGATAATAGAGAGAAAATTTTGGACATTTGGGAAAAGAATCCATTTTGAACGTAAACTTTATATGTTTTTGTCACGGCGTCAATTTTGATGCCATTTTACAGATTCAAGAGTTGCGCAATTTCTTAGTGTTGCTCTTAAATAGCCGCCAATTCATATTTAGCCATGACTGTTTATTAATATTAATTCGATTTATTTGCTCTTCTTTTTCAACAAATTGCTTATTAAAACTGGTTAAAATTCAAATTTTTATACGATAAACGTGAATCAATTAAATGAAATCTTATTCGTTTAAGAACTGAGTTTCGATTATTATTATTTTTTTCAGGGAAAATGTAATTGAGTTTTGAAAATATAATCGATTCAAATTATTTGTTATCAGATAAATTGTTTTTGATCGGGTAAAATGGTAGGAGGTTTGATTAGAACGGGCGTATGATTTTTTTTTTTCGTTCATTTCTTATTGCTTTATTTTCATACGCTAAAATAAAAAGTGCGTGTGATTTGTTTATTTATAATTCTCAAGTTTAAAATCGCTGTTCAATAGTTAATAGATCTGGGGCCATGTTTAAAATATGAACTGATCGTGAACCAAGTCGGTATATGAAATTCATCGTTAGTTTTATGCCGTTATTTCGATTTTTAACCAATTCTAAAAATTCATTGTAATGTACTTCATCGATTGGGAATTTTTGAAATGAACGTCTGTGTACATGATAATATTTGAGTGTTAATTTCGATAAAGATTTTGTGTGCTAAGAAGTGCTCTATCATAGAGTACATGATCACATGCAAGACAATTTATTCTCGAATATCGGATTGATTTGTGATACACCAAATTAATAATCAAATGTTCATATTTCACTGAACGTACTATGCAAAATTAAAAAATGCGTGTTTTTTGTTTTTCTTTATTTATTTATAAATTTTTATTCTTTTATATTTCTCAAATGGTTAATTCTCACCTTTCACATCTCTGTTTATAAAAACTATGATAAATGATTAATAATTAAATAGTTGTTGTTTTTCGTTTGCATTTCTTCTCATACATTTCATAGTATAAATTACTTTTGTTTGCCATTAATTGCTACTTATTGCAATCTATTTCCATACTATTTTTATTTTCTGTTATTTTTGTTTGTTAAAACATAAATCGAGGCATGAGGTTTGTTTCTGTAAATTTTCCCAGAATAATAAGAAAAAAAATGAATCATCAAAGAGACTGGCAGCGCTTATTAAGTGCACTCTAGTGCATCGCGTGCTATTTGGCGATCGTTTTATGATTACCATCAATAGAATTGATTGTTATGGATTGTTACATCGTACACCTACAACAAGTGGTAATAGAAAAAAAAAACAAATGTCAAGCGCTGACAGCCAGTGCAATCTAAAAAAAAGTGGTTGATGTGCTCAGTGGAGTATATATATATAAAAATTGCTAAACAATGTGATTCAAATAATTGGTGTTCTTTGTGTGATTATGGTGTCAACGAAATGACTAACAAAAAAAACTGTAATGAACGTAATCTCTTAATTAACATTGATTAAAGCAATTTTAGTGAATTTTTTTTCGTTCAGAACTTTTGCATTTCAATACATTTGATGCAAGTTCTATTCCCAAAACTATTGATTTAATTAGAAAAGTGTTCGTTATAAAAATGCGCATACTTCATCAAATATGTTCAAGTCTTTATTGTGTTCCATTTATTTAGAAGACAGAATCTTTTTCCAGCCAAAATTCAAATGCACTTCATTATCAATCGAACAAACAAACCTATTTCCTTAAATAATGACTTGCATTAAAATGGTTTTTTCCAACAAAAAAAAATGAACGAAAAACACATTTTCGTGTTAATATTCAATTAATAATTTGGAATAAGTCGTTTGTCCGTTTGAATTTCCAAAAAATGCGCTTTGTTTGTGCAATTTTCATCACCTGAGCAAACCACTATTGTGATTGAAACAGGGATTGTTCCTCTAAGTAGAAGAAATGATAAGAAGACAAACAGATCCGCAGCAATCTTCTCCTTTCATCATTCCACCTCCGCAGAGGAACAGTCCCTGGTGTGAAAGAAACGAAAAGAATATTTGCAAAAAAAAAAACATTTGTTTTCTATGACTTTTCATTATATATTGCTATAAAGTTTTCTATTTCCACTGCATTTTTTCCATTCTATTTCTCTTCTTCTTGCTCATTTCATAATTTCCTTCAATAAAATTCAAACTAAATGCAAACTTATCTTTCTCTCCCTCTTTCTCAATAAAATATAATCGTAATCTTTAATTGTTAATTTTTATTTTAAACTTTAAATTAATTGTTTAATTTGTTGCATCGACCAAGTATGTGCATTAGTCGTTGAAGGAAGACCGTTCACAACTGCACTTATAATATTGTAAACTGCATAAGACACTGCATTCAAAGTCTAATGCAAACACTCGCCCATTACTATTTTTTGCCGAATATGCTATTATTTTCAATTGTTGTAAGTTTTTTTTTGTTTAAATGATTATTTCTTTAGTTTATGTGTGTTTTTGCTCATGAAATTGAGATTTCATCCATAATCTTTAATTGGTTTTTGTTCTATTTTTTAAATGTTTTCTCTTACACATTCTAAAATGATTTAAATTTTTTCTCATTTTTTTTGTAAATGATCTCCAAATGTGTTTTACTTAATTTAGTTTTGAAAAAAAAAATACACATAAAAGAAGGGGGTAAATAAAAGAGAATTGGACAGATTAAATGCGCTAGAAAAATACACAAAAAGCCGCATAAAATACAATTTGTTTACAAGATGATAAAAACTGTATTGTGTTGTGGTTCAACTGAAGAATTGTTTCCCGATGTTTTTTGTTTGTTGCTGTTTTGATTTTGTAAATACTTTATTTTGAAGCGGTTTCAAGAGGTACATGTGATTTTTCATAGACAACTTTTTTTTTTGGATGTGTGTGAAAACACTATTTTCAACACATCAAATGGCCACACAGTATTCAAAACCGTTACTCTAGCTGCGATTCATACGGTTGAAGAATATACAATATATTTTTTTCTGCTTTTATAAAATTTTATGGTGAAATTAATGTTATTTTTACCGTTGTCCAAATAAAAAATGATATGTTCCTCTTTAAACGCGCCGCCTATATGTTTTGTGTCCTTTTTGTTGCACTTTACACATTGATAGAGAACTAAGATCACTTATATTTATAATTTAGCAAAATAATAACTGCTTTCTTGTTGCTGAATACAATTCATGTTATTTTCCGTTCCGACCATACTACACAAAATTAAATTTTCAAAACTATATATATAGATTCTTTTTGATGCGTTCAATTCGGAAATACATGTTATTTGCTGAAATGTCAGCATATCCAGTTGATTCGTGTGTTTTGTTTCTTTATTTCATTTGACAGTTAAGCAACGTTGTGTGAACAAAGAGGAACAGAACGTGCATAGGCAGACAGTTCGGGGAATAAGATTGGATTGGTGTTTAAAGGAACTTGCATCTTCGTTTCTTCGGTAATTCTGGGGGCTCCAATGCTGCCAAAATAGCCTCATCGAATACATTTTTCAATCCTTTCTGTAATTTCAAAACAAAAATGATTTCTTAAAATAGAATTTATACATTTGTTTTAATCTGTCTCACCTGTGTCAATGCAGAGCATTCAACAAATTTAACAGCTTTCAACTCCTTGGCTAATTTCTCTCCTTGTTCCATTGTAATTGGCTTTTGTTTATTTTTGGCGAGCTTCTCTAGAGTTGTATTCTCATCACGCAAATCGATTTGTGTGCCAACCAATAAAAATGGCGTCTTTTGACAATGATGTGTTATTTCAGGCACCCACTACATACAAACGATACAACGATACATTTTAGATTAGATTATATTCTGATAACAATGGAATAACAAGAAAGATGGCAACATGTTTACCTTTTCCTTGACATTTTCAAACGAACTGGGACTAACAACCGAAAAACAGACTAAGAATACATCGGTTTGTGGATATGACAATGGTCGCAAACGGTCATAATCTTCTTGACCAGCTGTATCAAATAGACCTAGTGTATATGGTTCGCCACCGATCATGACCGTCACCGCATAATTGTCGAAAACCGTGGGCACATATTCGGACGGGAATTTATTTGTTGTATACGAGATAAGCAAGCACGTCTTACCCACGGCTCCATCTCCGACAACGACACACTTTATCGTTTGCATATTATTTTCTTTCTTTTTCCTTTTGCTGCTTTACTTAATTTCGCTGCTATTTGCTGTTCGTTTGATTGACGCTATTTGATGTGTTCGGTTTATTGCTTGACCGATTGATACGTGATCACACAATAATTCAGTTCAATTCTATTTTTGAAAGAAAACAAAAAAAAAAAACAAGAACAAATAAATCATATTATACTACATGTATCTTATTACAAAGCAAACTAAATGTTATTAGCCTCAATAGCTTGATCGAAAAATTAATTGTATATTGTCTAGCGTAACATAGCGAGAGAGCCTATTTCACAGCATAGAGAAAAAAATCAACCAAACGAAGAATCTCTATTGAAAGGAATTTGCACTTCGAACACGAACTGGTTTTCTGAACGGAATTTTAATGGTTGTTCCGATATTTAGCTGTACATTTTGCTATTAGTATCACATACGAAGCATATACAACAATCATAGAATGCGTGCAAACATGAAATAAAAAAAAAAACAACATGAAATTATAGTGTGGAACTACGGCTACATTGATACGATGCCTTTGAATGAGCCGATGATGTATTGCATAAACCCAGCATAAATTGCAGAGTCAGTGACAGAGTAACGAGAAAACAAATTGTTCGGCAAATAAAATGTCAGCATTCGTTTTGAGTCACGAAATTTATTTTTTACGAAATATCAAGCGAAGAAGAAAAAAACTACGCAGAAAATGCTTATCCAACATTATTTTTGGTTTATTTTGATAGGCGGCTTTCAATTCGTTTTTGACGCCGATAGCAAAACACGAGCAATTTTATTATAAACTGAATTATTTAGTATATTGGAAAATTCACTGCGGGCAGCATAAATTATCGTCATATATTATAGGATTGTATCGATAAATGTAAACGAACATCAATTGGAATACTACGAATCGATATTGAATCTGAATAAACAAATCTATTATTTATGAAGAATAAACAACACTTGAACGCTTCGTGCGCAACTTGAAAATTACTGTCCATATTTTTGTTCTCACCAATCGACTTCCTCATTTAATTCTTTCATACGTTTTTTTTTTGTGTTCGAGTGTCTATCTCTTGTTCGGGTGTCGTATCTTGACACGATGTGTAACGTTATCGCTTCACTTTCCAATGGCTAAAACTCACATTTGCGGTTTCGCTTGTCGATACTTAATTGACTGTATAATTTCTCTCCGTCTGTCTGAGAACACTGCCCAAACACTAATCTGCAGAATGACAATTTTTCTTCTTCTTCTTCTCTCGGTCGTATTTGATGACTACGTTGTCCACATCAAAAGAAACACATAAAATTAAGCCCCAAAAAATTATCACAAAAGTCGAATTTAATGAATTTTTTTTTGTTAAAACATAGAATAACACTGAACAAAAAAAAAAAAATCGGCGACAGATATTTTCGAACAAAAAGAAAAACACACAACAATTGAAACTTGACGTTGTGGGTACATGTATTAAAAGAATGAAATGCAGTCAGCCATTTTGGATATTCACAATGGTATGCCGTATACACACATAGGAAGAGGCAAAAATTCCATTCATGTGACACCGAAAATGAAATAATAAGAGAAAGACGAACAGAACAAAAAAGAAGAAAAGGCAAAAACAACAACAACTTCTTCTACTATCCTATACACACACACTAAACGGGCGATGATGAAATGAAACCAATCAAAATATGTGTGGTTATATGGAACGGCAACGACATATGTGAGATAGAGACAGAGATACGCGATACGCGCGATACACTCATCCAATTATTTTTATGTTGGCCGCGGATAATGAGAAAAACAGAGCGACACACCAAAGTCACAATACGGTTTTTTAAATGGAATGCATTATCGTATCGAATTTATCAAAGTACAGAATCACATCGTATTTCATATGCTGACAACGCAAAAATTCATTTTCTAAATACCACAAAACTCATAAATGCACGTAACAAACATCTATTTTTCATGTAACACTGAACGCGACGGTAATCGATTTGGATAATACGCATCGAACAAGTAGGAAATGCACACACAAAAAAAAAAGACAATCTTAAAATCAAAGTTTGAATTTAAATATTTAATGAGTCGTACCCGCTTGTTGATTCAATTGGAAATGACCACCGATATATAGTTCTTTTTTTCTCTCTCGCAATTTACTTTGTCTATTCCGTTTTCACAGAATGGTAGTGATTTAGTAACTGCACTCCTTTCTTTTTTTCCGTGTTTCGATTCAATTCACTGTACGCTATACGCTGGGCTGGGCAATGTGATTAAACTTTTGTCGAAATGCACTTTTTGAATTCGTATGTGTCTCGCTACGTCGCGCGTATCACATATAATATATTTGTATTTAATTTAAATTGTTGTTGTAATGAAGTCACTTAAAACGAACCAGAGAAACACATGAGAAACACAGAACATACAAATATAGTTACACACAACAATGAGTGAAACGCACGTATGAACGAGAAAACGATTAAGCGTTCAATGTATTTGTTGTTTTCTTCACTGTATCCACAATGTATTTTTATACTTTTGCACGCACCCATACCAAACCAATACACCAATCCCGCATCGTTGTGTGTCCGCTTTGCATGTGTATGTGTGTGCTGTAGCTCGTATAACACGTATCATATTTTGGTATGTCGTCTCAATACGAATGTCGGCAAAAATATCGCTTCGGTAAATGATGCCGATTTTCTCTGTGTTTGTGCACCACAAGTGCGTGTGTATGAGTGAACTCTATTCTGAAGCATTTGACGTTTTCCATAGACTGCGGCGACAAGTCTCCAATAAATTTGAATTTAATGTTGCGTTCACATAGCTTTTGCTCTCTTTCGCTTGTCAGCAATGCAATTGTTTTGACACTCTTTCGTATTTTCATAAACATTTTTTTTTTCATTGTCTAAACAAATATCGAAATTCGCTTGTCATGCATTTTTCTATCGTATAGTCCTGGTATAAAATTGTTTCGATTGTTTTTTGTTCGTTTGGTATTATTTATGGCTTGAGTTGTGTGTTTTTCCTTTGTTTACATTTGGCGCACGAACGCAAAGTATTGAATGTCAAATGACATTACTTCAAGTGTGCTTTTGGTGACCGGTTCGATTCATATTTCAGTCCGGGATAAATATTTTTTTTTTCGCCGAAAAATGCAAAGTGTCTGAGTTTTGTTGCCACTCTTCTAAATCAAACAAACTAAAGGAGATAAAAAAGCAGAAAATTGTATTGTGTCAGTCGTGAAAAATATTTGAAAAGACTCAGTTGTTTAATTTGATAGCGCGACAAAATGGAAAACAACGAAATTATAATAACGCATCTTGTGAATCCACATTACTTCTACTTTCGATGGGCGAAAGATGAATGTTAGTTTTTTGTGTCTTTGTGTGTCCTTATGCAAATGTTCATTTAAATCATTTTCAATTGTGTTGTATTCACAGGTCACGATGAAGAGTTAAGTATAATGGAAAAGAAGATTGAAAGCATCGCCACAAAAACGGATGTAAATTCCAACGTTTCTGATGGGAATTCTGCGACATCAACAAATACGATCGTTTCAACGTCGTCAGATCCAATCATCAAGGTTGGCGATGTAGTTGGTGTATTTGTTCCGTACTTCCATAAATATATACGTGCGGCGGTTAGAGAGGCCAACGTCAATGGTCATTATAGCGTATGGGCTATTGACTATGGTTTTCCAATAGTGGCAAAGGCTTCGAATGTATTTAAATTACCTCGCACTTTCCAAGGCATGCATATTAAAAACAAACGGATTTACAAAGGTGGCATGGAAAACGTGATGCCAGCTGAAATGAACTATTGTGTGATGGCTCAAAGTGGTGTGAAAGAAATCGTTTCGAATTGGGCCGAAAAGTCAATTGAAGTGTTGAAAAATGTGCTGAAAACGTCCGGCAAAATCAAATTTGAGCATGTTTCGCAACATACGAACCCAATCGATAAAAAACCACATTACTTTGGTCGTTTGATGATACAAAGGCCAGACAATCAAATGGTGAATGCGGTCAAATGTCTTTTGGGTAAGAAATATATTTCTAGAAACATCATGTTTTAAATTTAAAAAAAAATGTCTAACGAGAAATATGAATTTCAGATATGAACTGTGCTTGTTTAACCGAAGGAATATTCGCCGAAGAAATCAAAAAGATTGAAACCATCGACAGCAAGAAGCAGAAAAACTACAAGGTCGGTGATCAGTTTTGGGATACACAGCTCACTCTTACATCAACAAAGTTAGATAATGTGGGTAGCGAAGCCAACCCAGAGCCCTATGAAGCCGAAAGTGATGAAATCAAGGATAACATGACCGAATATATGAGCGATAATGAATACTTTGACGATTCCGTGTCCATGATGCAACCGAAATTGTTGGGTCATTCGAATGGTGGTAAAAATCAACCGCAAACAAAATGTGAAACACCTGTCAAGGATGAAGCAAAACCAAAACAAGAAAATAAGACTTCTACAAAAGGCGGTACAAATATAAGCAATAATTCATCGCAACAGACGCCAACCACTGTGGTTCGCCGTAACATCGAATATCGTAACACACCACCTGATCGTAATAAGGTGCGCAACGATCAGCGTCAATACAATCAAAGAACGCCGCCACTATTTCCACAACAGCACCAGCAATTTCCACAACAGCACCAACAATTTCCACAACAGCACCAGCAATTTCCACAACAGCACCAGCACCGTGGTCCATTTCATCAACCCAATTCAAGTCAAGGAAATTTATTTAGCCGGCCACCTCTACAATTCAATGAACCGCCGTATCATACAATGCCAAATCAATTCAATCGGCAACAAGGCGGAAGAAGACGTCAAGTTCGCAATAAAAACAGTGGATCGCGAAGTGATTCCGGTGAATTTGCGGCTAGTATTGGTCATCGGCCACTCGGTCGCATAAATGAAAATTCTCCAATAGCATCTCCGAATTTTGGTCCAGGGCCAATGAAAGATGACAGATACAGATTCAGAAACTCGAATGGCCAACAAAAAACAGACAAAGAAGTGAAAAATAATAGCGAACCCAACGTAAACAATGCCGAACAAAAAAATCAAGGTAAACCTCGAAATGATTATGTTGCGGGTGCTCCAACGAAGGCAATGTTGCCGGAACCATCGAAACAAGTTGAAAACGGAGCCATAGAAAAAAATTAAAGCAAATGGTAGATTTTACCAGTTAATAAGTTTTACAGTGTTACTTGAATTTGACTTAAGATTTTTATATGTTATAGACGAAAAAACGTATATTCGTATTATCGTTTTCAAAAAATATCATCCTCAATATTGTGCCTGTCCAAAAATGTCCAGACAATTCAATTTTATAACTAAAAAATATGTTATCAATACATTTGCAATTGCGTACTTTTTTGCTAGAAATTTCAAATCAATGCTATTACTATAATCTATATAAAAAAGATCAATAAATGTATTTTACCAAATATTGCTGAAAGTCTAAAAATGCATATAAACTTTGGCATCTGACATAATTATGGTAAGTTTCTAACTCTTAATTGTTGGGAAAACATGTACACATTCCTGTCTGTAAAATGGTTTTTTTACAGGAACGATTTGATTTAATTTACGACTTCAAAGTAAACATTCGATTCAAACATTTATAGTCGCATCGTCGATGTGAAACTCGTTGTCTTATGGTTTCTTCGAATATGACAAATACATGTATATGTTTCAAGTTTCAGACGATGGAACACTTTTCTCCTTCTCTCCCGTTCTCTAGCTCTCCTTTTCTTATCGCACTTTGCTGGATCAGATTTTTGTCAAATAAACAAAAACAGTCGACGAAATGAAATCGTTAGCAGAAAAAAGTCCGCTTTGAATAAAATATGAAATAAAATAGTCGGCAGTAAGTGAAGAGTCGTGAAACGGTCCAGTCGAACTGCGGTTTAGTTTACTTAACATTGTGAAATTGTGAACATTTCAAATAGCAACACAAAAAAATGATACAAATTACACACTTTGTTAATCCTCACAAGTTTTTTTACAAGCGCAAACAGGATGAAGGTAAATTTGAACGATTTTAATTTATTTTTTGAATGAAATGTCTTCAATGCAACTGAAATGAAAGGTGTTCACAATTCGTAGGTTTTGACAAACAATTGGATGATATGGAAGTCAAAATCAAAGGTACCGTTTGCAAAAAGAACGAACACGAAGAGATTGAAATTGGTGACACGGTCGGTGTATTTATGAAAGACTGGAATAAATGGATTCGCGGCATTGTAAAGGAAAAATATCAAAATGGAAGCGCTCATATATGGGCTATTGACTACGGAGTTCCATACATTACACCACTCGTCAAACTCGTTAAACTTCCACCGATGTACGCAAAAATGAACGGAAAGTATCAACGCATCCATGTTGGTGGTATCATCAACTGTATTCCGGCTGAATCGTCTTACGATTTTGAGACAAACGACATGGTTTTTGGCGAACAAGCTCAATGGTCAGCAAAAGCAATGGAAATTTCACAATGTGGCATTGGTCGTGCGATGCAATTAAAATTCGAGGAAGTGCATGAAATAAAGATGGGACATGAAACGCTCATTTTTGGCAATTTAAAAATTCAAAAGCCGGACGGAACATGGATCGACTTAGCCGAATGCCTGTTAAAGGCACAAATGGCAAAAGCAACGACAGGTAGTTGGAATAGCCATGTACTTCGATTAGATTCAATCAAACAAATCGAATGGAAAACGATCAATAATGAACCGATTCAAGCTGACACAAATGTGTCGATTTTTTCAATGGAACGCATGACCATTGAAGTGAATGAGGCTTCAGCAAATATTAACCGGCCGACAAAGAACGAAAATCCTGCGAAAATGTCCAGCTTTTTGGTCCATCAGTACAATAGCGATGGTCAACAAAATGGGAACAATTCATTTTTGAATGAACCGTCGTCTTCACACGTATTCAAAAAACGCAGCATCAGCTCAAGCAGAAGCGTTAAAGGTGCATTCAATTACAATGCAAGCAAATCCATGCAATTTAACATCCATCAAAATCGTAACCGCAGCGATCGAAACGATCTTACTTCCGAGTTCCCAAAAGGTGACACACATTGAACATTCTGTTTTTATTCAATCAACTCATAATTTCCATACATTTTTCATAAAATAGGGTGGCACACCAATGGGGATCTTCGCAATCAACGCTATCGCGAAGAAATCAATTTCTTTGAAGCATCATTCCGAAGACCAAATAACGTGAAAGAAAATGCAAACGATGACGACGCGGACAAATCAACGGAAATCGATAGTGAAAGCAACGAAAATGGCGCTGGCGAACATGTTAACAATGATAAGCCCAAAAAAAACGAATCAACCAACACAATTTCGCCAGAAAAAGTGTCCACTACACAGAAACCGACCAATAACGATGCATCCAATAACGAACAACATAAACAAAGTGCAGCTGAAGGTGGTAAAGACGAAAAATAGTAATTTAGTTTATAAGTATACTTACAAAATGTCATTCGTTTAAAAAAAATGTTTTAATAAGTTTTTCATTATCAATAACATACATTCAGAGACTTTTAGTATTTTGACAAACATGAAACGAATTCATTCATTCAAAAAGTCAATTTTCTCCATATAATTACACAATGCCTAACAATGAATGTAAAAAAAACCCATTTAATTGAATAAATCTTATTAGAAAGAGATTTCATACTTTGTAAGTCAAGCAGCTTTTTCAGAGAGAGCATTAAGTTTGCGATAAAATAAAATAAAAATTATCATTGTTCTCTGAAGTTCGGTTGCTTACCCAATTGTGTTTATAATGAAGGGGAATAATTGTGAGCACCACAACTGAGCCCAAATATATAGCGCGGTATGTATCAAAATTTGATTTCGACATAAAAAGCATTTTTTGTGCATCTCAAAACAATCAATCAATGGGTGAGTAAGTTTGCTGTTTCATATATTGTTGAAAATAAATTTAGGTCATTTATGTGCTTTTGGCACAGTGGCTATTGATTTTTTGAATTGGTTGCTATATACAGCATCATTAAATCGAATTGCATAGTTTTGCGATATGCTGCATTTCACTGTTACTCTTGCATCGCTTTGCAGCTATTGCCGTTCGATTGTTATCTGCAACAATGTGGCGAGCCAATTTATCCAGAAACAATGGCTCAACACAATGCGATTACAACTAAATTGCAAGGATTAAGCAAACAAATAAACAAGCATTGGAGTAAATATTTTTTTTAGTAATAGATGGAACACCGAACTTATATAATATAAATTTTCCAGCCACTTATTGTCCTAGTTTTTGCGCGAATATTTTTTATTCATTTGAACGATGTTCAATAAAACCATTTTCCGCATATATTTTCAATTGCAATCATTTGACGGCATCTGGGCAATCTTTTAACTGTTGCATTTCACTAACATTTCAAACGTGCATTGTTCACATTTGGCGCAATTGTTCAATATTGAATTCACACATACACACACATCATTGATGAATTGAAATCATTCGGTTAACTGGTGCAGAAATATTATGGCAATTTTTACGCACAAACAAAACTCGTTAAACAACATTTGTCACCAATCTCATTCATTCTGGAAATTTGTTATTGTATTGTTGTTGTTTTTTCTGCCAAAACGAATCGAAATCTAAAGTTGAAAAAAAAAACTCTCTTAATTGGAAGGCAAAACATATTTTTCGTTTAATTTATTTAATTTTTCCGTGCTCCTTCATTGAACACATTGCATTTACAAAATTCAAGTCGTTCCAAAAACAACAAAGTGTTGTTTTTAATTAGTATTCCAGTCGATTCTTTCCTTTGTTACTTCAACGATGGGGTTAATTGAAGAGCACAAACAATGCTTAACAGAACCATTTGCAATGTAAACATGAAATTCGCAATGTATGCTAAACTATAAATAGAATGATTTTGTTTTCGTTAGTCCATGATTCGTCTGCGTTTGCACATTCTCATGATCGTCTAATATAAACATGATTGTCGTTTTGTACGCGCGATGCAATTCACGACTCCCTCGATTTGTTGCATGAACAGGAGAAAAGGCATAGATAGAAAATTGCCGGCATACATTTCATCTAAATTGATCGGTCGGCTCGAGTCGAACAAACAACATAAACACGCAAGCAAAATAAATCTTTAGAAGTCAAAATTATTAGCTCAACTACGATTCCATCGCATAGTCCATATCCAAATGGTGTGTCTGTAGCTATGTACATCGATGATATCCATTACTATCACTAAAATACATCGGTTCCGTTGGTGATGCGTCCGCGACCAGCTCGCTTGTCGACCACCGCTATCACTCCACAAATCGATTCAGAATCGGTAATGTGTGTTGATTTCATTTCTCTTTGTTTGTTTGTCTCTTAGCACACAGTGTGTGTGCGTTTGTGTTTGTATCTATATGCGTACACATCACTTTAACGAGAAATATCAGAAAATACAAAGAAAAATTTCACGTATCAAACACATTTTGAATTGAATTGTTTCAGTTTGTTTCGAGCACTTCATCGGTTTCGTTGTTCGCTACATATATAAACGTGAATTTAGAATACAAAGTGTATTTATTCTGTGTGAATTATTACTTCAAAATTTATCTATAAAAACACGTGAATATTATTAATAAAAATTTGCGTACGGTTTTTTTTAATCTGAATTATTAAAAATTTGAAAATTTTGTACTATTTTGTTAAGTTTCTGGAATAAGAGTTCTTTTCGATTATAGAGCACAGGTAGAGAAAAAGTCACTAGCCATTCTATTTCGATAGAAAGATTTCCAATTGAATCGTTGCGGCGAAAGAGTAGCCCTTATTTTTCTCCAAATAATACTGCAACATAAAGTTTTTATGAATAGTTTTTTTGTTGTATTACAACAAATAAACCGTGTGAAAAAAACTTCATGTTGCAGTATTATTTGGAGAAAAATAAGAGCTACTGTTTCGCCTTAACGATTCAATTAAGGATATATTTCCGAATTAAGAACGAATCTAAATTATTCGTAAAAAGAACCAAAGAATTCTGGGAAAAATTCTAAATTACATCGAATTTATCTCGAAAATCATCAATCATTATCGATTCCAACTAATCATCAGTTAAATGACAATTTTCACGAGTATTCTTAGCATAGAGTGTTGAGAACTTGATCTTCATTGAGTGTGGTCACAATATATTACGTCGTTGAAAAAAAACTCATCGTGAAACAAGAGATCATCACAAATGTTACGGCATTCATGTCGAAAGCCATTTGAATTTAACACAATTTGTCATAAATCCTCTTTGTGTTCTGAATTCTAAATTTAGCACTCGATTTTGATTGCATTTCGTTTGATAGAGTTAGACTGAGCGTGATGGGGAAAGCAAGAACGAGAGAGGCTTGCCAAAAGGAAGCATCTATGTATGTAACGCACGTACGGTTATTTTTAAATGACATGAAGTAGTGAATTCGACGAAACACAATCGCAGCAAGAGTAAAAGATGCAATTTTGGAGTTGCAACTCAAGACGCTTGTGTTAAAATGCAGTCGGCTGTAAATTGAACTCAATTGCTCGATTTACACAACGAACAAAAACAAAACAGAATAAATCTAAACTATACATAATTTGTTATTAACACGCGTTCATGTTGACGTATCCGTTTCGATTTCATGTATTCTTTCGTACTTCAAGGCAACAGTAGATTAGACCATTTTTTGCATGCTTTTTTTTAAAAATGATTTTTTACAATTTGTTCAATTGGAATGCCATTCAGTTCAGTTGACTTTAAAATGCAAATGTTTCGCGAGGGGACAGGACACACATAAATTACAACAAAAAAAAAAACAACAAAACAAGTGGTCGTGCCATTTTTTTCGCATATTTAAATGGCCATGCCAAAAAAAACTGTGCGAACTGATAATAAACGATATGATTTAATCCGTGTGGGCATGGATCCGTTTTTGTTGGCCATTTCCATCGCTTAGAAGTAATCATCTTATTTCTTCCGATGATATTTAACAACGAATTAGTGCAAAGCGGCTACTCCTACTGTTGCACCAGACAAGCCGCCAGTTCAATTTATTCATTTTAAATTTGATCTATTTTTAGATCAGCGAACGCTCTTTTCGTCAAAACGCATTTAATAGTGTTGAAATAAACAAATTCGATGGCGCACACAAAAAACACACAAACGATTTTTATAAAAAAAAAATGTAAACAACTCAAGTGCGACGCTGCTATACACGGTCGGACAATTATCTCAAACGGAGTAATATTTACCGTATAATTGTTGAACGCGAATTGAGTTTGTTGTATGTTCTGTTCCGTTTTGTTTGTTTGTTAAATCAATGAACGACGCAAATGCGTTGTATATTCGGACGTGTATATGAAATTCTTTCATTTGGCAAACACATTTTTTTGTGATGAGAACATATAAAATATATATCATAATACAACGAAAATATAATTCACGACAGAGAAAGCGATATTTGTCATGCAATGCGATTGATTGAAAGCGAAGACATTGTTGACAATTTGTGCGGCAAGCGAATCAAGAGGGGTGGAGGCGTGAGAGAAAATCAGCAAATAAACTTTTATTGTCTTGCTTTAATGGAATGAGTTGATTTTTGCGCCACTTAAAATTGTATGCTTTGAGACGCATTTTAATATTTCAATTGAAAGTGAATTGCTTTGACAACCTTCAAATGAAGCAACAGTTTATTAAATTCGAGATACGAAAAAAAGAACCGTTTCAGCTTTCGGAACACTCAATCTATTGAAAATTATACAATTCTTTATTTGAGCATTATGTTAACAGAGCCGTTGCTCTTATTCGCGTCACGTATAATGTGCACAAATATCCGGATTTCCGTTCGATTTGCTTCGAAAATGTAATATAATTAGTTTTTGTGATGGTGAACTCACTAAATAGATGCTGTTAATTGCTTTCCATCGATACATATGTCTATGCCACATGAATGTGGCAATCAATTGCATTCAATACGCATAAATCGAATCGACCGCATAGCTGAATAATGTGATAAACATTTCCCAAATAAATCAGTGCCCAATCGACAAAACTAACTTGATTATATCCTTTGAAGAACAAGAAATTTATTACTGTAACTAATGCCAGCTGATATTTTCGATAACATATGAATTGGTATTATTCAGTTTTCGGTCGATATCTTATGGTTCCTATTATCATTCATGCCACTGTGCCGTGGATTTAATGCGTAGATGGCATGCCGTGAGCTATATTTTGTAGCCTTCCAAATCCGGTATGATGAAAAGGAATAAATAATTAACAAAACGGAAATGTCATCACCACTACCAATCACATATTCGAATCACACGCATCGACAAGAGATAAAAGAATGATTGCTCGTTTGAAAAAAAAAAAAACTAAATTGATACCAATGTGATATCATGCTGTGTGGTGCCAACATACCCAATCTCTAATTTAATGAAGCTTTAGAAACAATATTGGAGTGCGATTTTCTCCCCATCACGATTTTCATTTCATCTTTTCACTTAAACTATTCCAAGCATACGTATTATTTTTAGTCTGTATTTTTGTGTGAAAAATAAAAAAATAAATAAGAGATTGGTCCTGATTCTAGGGCAATCACAGACGCTCCTTCGTTCAACGATATTGTGAACATCACAAAAAGTTTGTAACCATTGAAAAATTCATCGTATGTGCGGTGAATCCGTGATACGAATTCATTTTGACACACATATAATAATCCAACAAGTCAGGCGACAGTGAAAGGTGACACGAAAAGACGCAACTAGCCAAAATAATACGATTAAAAGTTTTTGGAGATATTTTCGAGGTAACATATACGTGATTCGTTATGTCAACGCCACCATTGTCCACATCCATGCCACCCGTACCTCCAGGAGGTAGACGTGAATCGTTTGCACGACGAGCCGAAAGTCTAATCGAACAGGTAAATTTTTTCTTCTTACTCTCAATATAAAAATAATTTATTGATTTAAAAAAAAATACACCGAAAATTGTCCATGTTCTTCTTGTGCTGGAGTGAATTTAATGCTCAATGCCAGTTGAAGGTTTAACTTGGTGACAAGTTTAAACACGTCCTTTATGGCAAACCAAATGAATGGAGCAAATCAATTGGAAATCGCAAAAGAAATAATAATCATAATAAAATGAAATCAAAGAAATAACTTGAACATACAATTTGTCGAAGGAACGAACTGAATTGGACGATTCATCAATGCATATAGAGAATCATGTGCATCGTGTGCGCTGCGTTTATCTTGACCAATTTAGCACAATTGAACGCAATTACTCGAATAGATTTCAAACATCGTTCTTTTGCGTTAGACAACACACAGAAAATTAACCGTTTCAAATAGATTCGACGAATGAATTCTCGAGCAGTGGCTGAAAGACCAAACCCATATAAAATAGAATGCAAAATAGCCATTTGCATGATGTGAATGCATAAATTGTAACAGCAATAGCCATCAATTCATTAGATTAAATTTATTCGCTCATTGTCAAGTTTTGTTGGGCATTTCGTTTAATAAATAACACTTTTATTTAATCGATATCACAGTTACTTGAGATACACGGAACGCCTTGAATTTCATCTTATTGCGCTCAATGATAAATGGAAAGTTACTTTGTTTACATTAAAATCGAATCCGATAGTGAGATTGGTCATGAACACTCTGTATTGTATCGAATGCATTAAGGAAATTATTTATCTGTTTGGAATAGAGTTATGATGGAGACATGATTAATTTCGGGATGAAAGATATCGAGTGTGCCACATGTCATAATCCATGGCACGAACTCACCAACATATAACACACAAATTCGCTTACTTAAAAATTGAGTCGTAAAAACCCTTGGCTTTGGACTAAGCTTGATCTGTTTACTCGTTCTGGTGAAACCAATTTTCTCCTTTTGCCATTTATCTTTGCCAGTAAAATCGAATCCGTGTTACACGAGCGTACAGTTACAACGTGCCTCCCCCATACCACATCGTCTTCGAACGAGCAAAAAAAAGAGAACTCGATGGTAAAGTATGTGACACTGATCGAAATAAAAAGAATAGTTGAACTTTTGTTATCGACATCGATTGCTATGCTTCAATAACTTAATTTTAGCACCGAAACGAGTCAGCAAAAAAAAAATCGTTGTCAAGCTTTTATGAAATACACTCAATAATTCCTCCGGTTTTCTTCGTCATCGACATTATTTTAAAATTCATGAAATTAACTGCTTCGATGAATGGGCAGTTAACTTTTCACTCAGTCAGAAAGAAATAAACATAAAGATAAACAAAATCATCGACGATTTAATTTACAAGCTTTTGTTCGGCAGACAAGTAGCGAGATTTCATTTACGCAATAAAGTTTCGTATTGTTATAGCGATATAAACGGATGGGTTATCCTATTGAATTTTATATGATCGATTGTTTTCGTGCAGTATTTTTTGCCGTTGGTATTAAAGCATGGCTTGATTAATTGATGTTTTTATTAACAGAGTTGTATAATGTTGTCACTTCAATTATTTATGAATGACCGATTATTTGGTTATTTGAGCGCATGTGCTTATAATTTGATTTTTTTCCACCACAAAATAAAAACAATAAAAAAACAACAAGTTTCATCCCATAAAATGGGATACAAACATTTACGTGATGTGTAACTAACACGAGCATTCACAAGAAGACGCTCAAATGAATATAAATGTGTTTTTCGTGAGCTGTGGCCATTATCTGAGTGGGTGGTATAGCTGAGTTGTTGAGCTTGTTACGACTTATAATACACAAGGACATTACACCGTTTTTCCGCATTTATGAGCTTCACCATAATAGATATGCGAAAACGAAAAGTGTGTATGAATTCAATACGATAAGATGGAATGGTGCAGTGCATTCGAGTCAAGTTTGCTGTAATATGAATCGCTTAATATGAAAATTCTTGATCTTATCGAATGTTTATATTTTTGTGTGTCGTTGTTCGTTTAAGCGCTCTTTTATGTATGCTTATTGACTTTTACTTTGGATCGATTCATATTTTATGCTGCAGCAGCCGCAAAATCATTGCTTTAGCGTTTGAAAGATAACGTAAAAAGCCTTGAGGCTATTCGAAATGATGCACTCTTCGGCGTGTGATAACATTTTTTATGAGTGTTATCTTTTCAACGTTAAACGTTTATTTTGTTTCTTTATTAATACTATTAGATATCATCGTTATCCAAACAAACTAAATAAAAACTCTCAAAAGCTCAGAAGGGGAAAAACAAATTAACTAAGTTCCAAAGTGCAATTTTAATGCGTAGTATCGTTCGTTATTGAAATCCATGTATACTAATTTCATTGTTTCCGTTAGTTAATGCTTGACTTAAGCTTGATAATTTGAATTTATGTGCAATAACTCCATTATTTGGTCAAATTTACTTGTCCGAAATTCGGTCTTTCACCCAATTGTTCCTACGAACATTGTATGCATGTGTGGGTGTATGAATAAACTAACAGAATTAAGCACATTTTGATATCAAAGTATTTTTTTTTCTACAAAATAAATGCTTTTCCACCATATAAAAAAAAAACAAAACGAAACTATAAAACATAATGGCAAAAGGTCATCCAACGCTTACAAATAACTCTCTCGTTAAGTATTCTACAAGAAGATCAATCAAACGGATTCGATTTTGTTGTTATCGATTGTTCTTTTCATCGCAGCACGATAGTTCTATCTCTTCAAGTCAATTGACTATTTTTCTGCACACTTTGATATTCTTTTATATTTATCGATTGCGGCTTCATCTATTTGGTATTCTCTCTATTCTATTCTTAACCATTTGCCACTTGTTCGATAGATGTGAGAGCATTTTCTATGCATGTTTCTTCAAAGCAATTACTCGACAGCACATAAGATATCCCATGTGGCTTGAATTTACGACGTCATAACGTTTTCCATTACTCATGTTAGCAATAGAATTTATCCGTTTTCCATCCCTTTTTTTTTGTCTTTCTAAAAGACGAAAGAAACCCGTTTCTATTTTCAAATGGAAAATATTGAAAAGTTAAACAAGCGAGAAACAAATATTTCACATCGTTTTATCATTTGCCAGTAGAACAAACACAATTTATAAGTTACATAATCACATCTTGGAAAGAAAGAAAAATCCAAATAACACAGACGAATGAAAAAGTATTGCTGAAATTAGATACGGAATTCATTTTGTCTTGAAATCAGATGAAAGAAGGGAAAAAACCAAAAGTGCGCTTGATGACCTGTTCTATTTTGTAATCAATTGCTTTTAAAGAGGTGTCATATGAGATGAAACAAAATCAATTCATGTTTTGTTCCGTCGTTGTTCAGAGTATAAAATTTGATGTACGTAAACACATGTGCACGTGAATGGGGCAAAAGAACAGCGCGAACCTAGCTCAACATACAAATATCGATCTGATGTAGCATCCAAAAATCGCTTCGATTCACTGCTATCTTGGCTAAGTATGTCTTAAGCTTAATATGTATATACCATATCAGCAAAACGCAAACGAAAATTGAACGCAAAATACGAAAAGCTGCGATAGCAAAATGAAACAAATTCTTTTGGAAAATTTCAACGACGAAACAAAAAAAAAAAGTCCACAATTCAATTGTGTCTGCTGTTTGTTTTTCCTTACCGGAGTGGAAAAACAAGAGAAAATGAAACAGAAGATGTGTTTGTTTGTGAAAAAATATTGGTCACAAATATTTTTTTTTTCCCCAATCGCAATGCATACCAAAAATGGTCTGCATTGGCGCTAGACATGGTAAATATATGGATAACCATCGATTCGTATGACACAAGCTCCGCTACGGAGTTTTGACTGTTTTCTATCCACAACAACATAACGTAAACATAACACTTTACTTGTTTTGTTTACTAAAATTGTTTTGCGACGTTGAACCGGCGGTGCGCCGCTTCTGTTTTCCATCCACCCTCCTCTAATGCACATCAGCTGAAAGTAAAACATTCAAAAGTCTATTTCATATAGAAAACATGCGATTTCGTGTTTGCACATTAAGCATTTCCCCTCCAACAAAATGTATTCCGAAGTCGTCGTCACTTTTCGCGCGAAACAACGAGACTACCCGATATGCGCACGATCTATTACACTTTCTCATCCAGGATAAATATTATGAAAGCATCCCAAAGATTTCATTCAGTCAGATTTTGGCATTCATCCAGATGAAAAGTGCGTTTCGATACAAAACCCAAAAACGAAAGTGATAAAAAAAATCAAACAAAAACAAACATTGAACTTCATTGATATTCAGTTAATTTGAGCAAGAAACGATAAAGTTTGCATAATAATCTAACGTGCTTTTAGGCTCAGTCAATTGTAAACTTCAGCCGACTCCGTTGTTTTGTTGCGTATATAATACAGTTGGTGCGGACAGACGCTGTGTCGGGATTTAAATAGAACGCAAAATATTTGGGTGTTTGTGCGTATTTTCTTTTATGCGTCACATTTAAACTAAAAAGCTTCCCACGAAAAACGGCTTTTACTTTGGCTTTTATTTTATATTGCCCAAAATTTCACAACAAATTAAGAACATTCATTTTTAGTGTGGTGAAAGACGAAAGTAATTAAAATCATTTTATTGGATTTTTTTTAGATTTTGAAACGGATTTGTGAATAAAAAGTAAAAAAAAAAAGAAATTGTAAAATTCTTGCGAGATAAAAAATCATATAAAAATAAACCATGGAAACTAAGAATAATAGCAAACCAACTACGCCATTGCACGGCAACCACAATCATCATGAAGATGTTGTTAAAGTTAGTATAACTTTTTGTAATTTATTCCAAGCTTTGTGTGTGGGATCCATTACACCAATGTATTTTAAATATTCCACCATATACAGAGATACATTTCAACCATATTTAAATGTTTATGTGTTTTTATAATAAAATGTTATACAAATTTCTCAATTTTCGAAACGTTCATTATTAAACTCAAATGACACATGATTCTCATAACAATAGTAATCGCATAAATATATGTTTAATGACAATCGCCAATAAAATGGTGGGGGAGAAAGAGGCGCCTCGCTTCTTCAGTAATCATAACATTAAAGTCAGTAAAGGAATGCGAGAAAATAAGTCATGGCTGGAGGGGTGAATTTTTTTTTATTTGATTCAGCTGTACAGGAAAACTAAATAAAATAAATTTCCACTATGACAAAGAATTTTGTGAGCGCGCAGATTTGTGACTATTGTTCTATGGTGAACTTCGTTCCAATATTCATGTGCCAATTGATGGTTATGATAATTATTATGATGTAGAAAACTAGGCGAACGACGGCTGTTTATTTTTGTTTTGATTTTTGCAATATTGTGAAGCTCTGTGTCTATCTCTCCCTCTGTTTTCGAAACGGTCGAGTGCAGTGAACTGAATATGCTCGCATTGCATAGTTCTACATTGCGAATGATTGTGTTCGGTTTGAAAGTGGATGGCCCTTCTCAATCGCAATGTTATGCTCTACATTGTATAAAGTGGACTTGGTGATAAACTACATGTTTGTGCTGGGAGGCTCGGCATTGTCAACGTAATGGTATTGGGATGGAGTGAATCTTTTGTTCGATACAAAGCAATCCTCATCCACCAATCATATAGACAAATTCGGAGACAAAAAAAGATTACTGCATTTTTCTTTGCGATTTTCACATTTTTTTGTTCGTTGTTGTTGTTGTTGTTGTTGTTGTTGTTGCATACTTTACTCAAAGCACTTAATGTCATAAGAAAAGGAAATCAGACGAATCAATTGAACATTCCATTTTTGAATGGCACTTTTCGCAAAAATGTTGTTCAATCGAAATTTGTTTAGGATATTGGGTCGAAAGATGTCGAAAATGTGAATCGATTTTTGTCTCAGACATTTTGCTATAACCAAACACACAAAACCATCCAACGCATCTGTTCGGATGGGATAATAATTGTTATTTTACCCTCGTTCGAGTAATGCGCAAGTATAGAGACATACCATTTTGCATATTAAGTAGGTTTTCTGTTTTTTTTTGAACCAAACAAGATTACCATTGAATGGAATTGGATGGCTTTCAGCTCAAAGTGCTTGGTTGCGATAGAGAGAGAGAGAGAGAGAGAAAGAAGGAGAGAGAGAGAAACTTTAAACTTTGAAGCTGTTCTGCCACAAATGATTGGATAAGTTTGAAAAATAAAAGGCTTTATTACGAGGTCCTTACTTGGCGTAATATTTTACAGCACATAAATTCGTTCAGTACATACTTTCCATCGATATCTTCTTATTTTTTTTTGTTTTTCACATGGCTACCCTCGTTTATTGTTAGCAAATCGCGCATCACATCATTTGTCTGAGATTTTTAAATTTGGTGACATGTCATAAAGATAAATGAAAACTACCCGAAACCATAAAAGAAAGGCAACGAGACACACTTCTTTTATTCTCGCTTACATTGCATTGCAACATTGATTGACTACGATAAAAAGCACAATTGTAACGCGAGCACAAAATATGGCAGTAAATCACATACTTGAGAACTGGATACAAACTGGCGCATTCAAAAAGCGCCCCCAGTCAATTTCAATTGATGCATTCATGTTGATTTGAATAAATTTACATGACAACAACATTTCAACAAATCCAGCGCATTCAATCACCAGTTTGATTGAAATGCATACGCTTCATAAAACTATACATTCGCTTTGAATGTGTCACATTCAGTCGAACATTTTAATCTCATGTGAATCGAATGATATGCAATATTATTCGCAGTTTGTCCATTCAACGTCTATTTACTCTAATTTATTTTGATTGCTGATTTTATAGTTTTGATTTATGCCAATAAATCGATTTCTATCTAAAACCATTACAATTTTTATGAAATTGTTTCAAATGAAATGCCATGTGAATACCATTTTCATATAATAAAATGTATTCGAGTCAAAATAAAACAAGGAATTGTTCGTCTCTGATATATTTGCCTGCAGTCATTGTTAAAACGAGTTGGCAAGTTTTCAATCCAGCTTTCTTGCAAAGAATCTATATGTTTACGCTTCAACGAGTTTTTTTTTGTTATTTCGTTCGTCATGCGCTTGAGTAAATGTGAAAAAATGAACATGTTACAGTGAATGTGAACTAGAGTGTGCTCAAGTATGCTTTTGAAGAGATTGCATTGCTTAGATTAAAAGTCAAAAGGTATTCAAAGTGCGAACGATGGTTTGCGAAATGAAAAGAAAGTTTAAAAGCTCTCTGATGCAGAAATTTAGATGAAAATATCTGTTGCTTGAAGGTTTCAATTTTTTGTTGCAGCCAATGTAAATGGAAAGGAGAATCTGGTTCGGAAAATTGCAGCAAACTTTAAGGTTCATTTAAAGTCTTTAAGTTGAAAATTGGACGAAATCCTTGGAATAATTCCAGCTTTAATTGGCCCTTGAGAATTAAGTTTTTTTGCTTCACTGTAAAAAGTGCTCTGGGAAGTTGTGTATCTATTTCAAAGCTGGAATTATAATAAAGAAAGGAGCTAATTATGTCGTCTTTCGAATGAGTGCGGTTTCAGTTTATCAGCTGCTATCCTTTGAAACCCCTCCAATCAGTACTTCAATTTTGCTCACCCATTCGTTTTCTAAATTCAGAGCTTTTATTCCATTTATTAATAAAAAAAAAAACATGAAAAGTAGCTTTCAACCCACCTTCATTTTCTAAGATGTGTTTCACAAGAAATGGAAAATCGAAATTTCTTAAATTATACACAACGATGCGAGTCAAATTAACCAAAATGATCCAAATGACTTTCATTCGCAGCATTCAATTTATAATTGAATGATAATCGCGAATTGACGTCAATTCCATTTAGTGTTTGTTATCAAGCGGAGAATAAGTGTCTTCATCGGAGAATATGCTTTCGATTTTTTCCATATTACACGTTGCCACATTTTTCCATTTAATAGCATCAATATATAAATTGTATACAATTTTTTCTCTTTACTTTTCCTACGGTTCTAATCATATTACTTTTTTTTCATCTTGTCGCAGAGATATGTTGTGAGCACAGACCGAAGCGGAGATATTTCAGTGACAGTTCAGGTAAGCATTTTATGTGAAAAATTGAATGTACCCAAGGCAAATGAAGTTCACATTGTTCATATGGCAAAGGACACTCAGCATGGAATGGAAACAAAAACGCACAAACACTGGCATACCAATCTGTAACTTTCTCAATTGCGTCGTCTGTAAAGAGTAAAAGTGAACAGTCAAACCGTATAGCCAATATATATGGTTGGCAACATTCATGCATATCTCAGATCGCAGTGCTGAATGCTCAAAGAAATTTATTGCTGTTTTTTTATGTTTACCACCCGAATAACTTTCTTGGGCACTTACCTCCATTCTTCATCGTTCCATAAATATTCATTAATGAATTTGCTGCATCTTTGAGCATGATCAAATGACGTAATTGCAAAATAAATTATGCGAAATTCGGTGTTGGAACTTGATGTTACATGAGCATGTTTGTAGCAGTGACAAAGGTTTTTAGCTATTGCTTTGTCATCGGGTCCATTTCAACAGAGTCATCATAAGGATATTTAGCAAAATTTGCATTTTCATTGGTTGCTTAAGTTTTGACACGGCACTGCTATTGAGAAACAATGGAATATAATTATCCATCACACGCAATCCACTATTCAAGCGATGAGTTCAAGTATCAAGTACAATTTTTTGTTCAAAACGGCAATGAAAGAAAATAAAAAATAACGAAAAAGAAATGATTATGTTTTCCTCGTATCCGTTCAGTGTGGAACTTTTTGAATTGTATTCATTTTATTTTATTTTTTGAAGTGGAAAAACATTTTCAACAATCATAAAAACAGCGAACACAATGATGCGCGAAACACTCGAAACAAAAGAATAAGCAACACAAAAGCAGCAGTAACAGCAACAAAGAATCACGAATAATATTCGAACCAATGAAAAGATTACCATTACCAATGGAACAACAGCTCCGTTTCACTGAATGAAACACAAAATTGTTTGAAATGAATATTACGTCTCAATAGATTTGAGAAATGCTGTCGTCGTTGGGAATTAAAATATCGACCCGACTACTCTCACAAGAACATTTAAAACAGCATAAATAATAAATTTATCTGATCTCGGTTTGGCATGAAAACACGTAACGACATTTGGTGAATACGTGAACCGGACCAACACACAACACATTCACTTTGGCACCGAATGCTCAGCTCGGAAGTTAGTTTATTTTAACGGAAGTGCATATTTTCAAATTAAATATCAAACATTATGCACTTGACACAAATGCCCATTCTATTTTCACCGATGGGAAAACTAAATTAAAATATTTTCAAGTGGCGTACGGTGCACACAGCATCATCCAACATTGCAAAATCATATTCGGTTTTGTTGGCATTTTGAATGTTGTGGTTTGTGCGGTTTGTTGCATTCCGCTGCATTTCAACCAATTAAATAAAACGAATTAACCACTTTTTACGACCACCCGAATGAATTGAATGTAATTTTGTGCGCTTCCGAATGGTGCGCACTTCCTTTCTTTTATTATAAATTGCAGGGTGATTTATCGCAACAAGAAAAACGAGCTGTTTTTTTAACCGTTCATGATTTGGGATGCAATCGTAAGATTTCATATTTTCCGTTTCATATTTATTTTGCTTGTCTCATTTCACAATCGATTACACATTCGCATGGTTTTGCTTTAATGAGAAAACTTTTCACTTTACATCGCAGATACATCATTCCAAGAGTTTGTGAACAGTCCATGCATGACTGAAATTAAGGAGAGATCGTGTTTCATTCACGTTGATGTCCCTGGTCACGCTGATAACGCTGAAAAGCTTCCTGACACGTAAGTTTTGTTGTTTTTATTTTATGGTTATTCATCATATGGACGTTTTCTCCTCTGACACTCTGAATCGCTTTTTTCCTTCTTTGTACAACGTTTAACTATGCACAGCTTTGTTTTTCCATCGCTGAAAACACTTGGTGAGGATTTAGTCACCGTATTAGATTTCTTACATGTTAAATATGTAATCGGGCTCGGTGAGGGAGCTGGTGCAAATACATTGGCACGCTTCGGTTTGGCCCATCCGGCTCGGTGCTTGGGTTTGATTTTAATCAATTGCACCGGAAGCGCCGCATCCGTTGTTGATTCTTTCAAAACTAAGGTAACATCTTGAAAACTTTCAACATTTTTTTGTTTTTGTTTGAAACATTACGTCTACTTTTCTTGGTGTGCCAAATATTTCATAGTTCATCAACTGGAAGGCTGACGAGGTTGCCCAAAGCGCCGAAGATTTTCTGCTGTATCACAAATTTGGTCATGTATGTATCATATTTTTTAGCAATTTTTTTTCTTGAAATGAATTGGTGTTGTTAGCCTCGATTCGATTAAGTTGAAAATTGATTTTGTGTTTTCTTCTTAGTTTTTATAATTGGCACACACAAATTGAAATATTCCATTCAAAAATGCACCGTAATTTTTTTTAACAAGCGATCTAAATGTTTAATATTGGCATATCAAACCCAGCTATTCATGACGATAGGTCGACACGTGTAAAGAAAAGCGGCGCAATTAAATTTCAGTCGACCAAATTGTAATAGTTGGGGTTTTTATTACCAAAATTATTTTTATCCGCATATCTAAATGTGAACAAATTTTAATTTATTAAATTATCGATTTTTTATCATTACTTGTTTTTTTTTTTTTCATGCGACCTAAACAAAAAAATAACCCAAAACTAAAATAACCAATACCCAAAAATAAAATAAAAAAATGTATAAAATAAACTAACATCAAAAAAATATCCACACAAATTACAATACAAAACAACCAATACTAAGATCATTGCCAATGAGGTAAACTATAAATATTCATTTACAATTAACTAGTATTTTTATTCGTGATTCTGACATTGAACACATTTATCGGTTTCATTTGATGTATTTTACTTTTTTTCGGTTTTGCTCAAATTGCACGCATAGCAATTTCTTATGTTTTTTTTCCTGGTCGAAGGAAAGTGTCACAATGGCGTTGGAATGCAAAACTAAGTTGACAAGTTCATTTGTGACTCATTCCCTTCTATAATTGAACAAAAGGAAGCATAGCAATGTAGATATTTTCCACACGCAACTATAATTACTATCAAAGCTTCATTTTTTAGTTTCCTTACTATTTCCAACTATTATTATACTGTGGCATGCATCCCCCCTTTCTAATGTACTCATTGCCTGCCTTCTTTAAAACAAACGAAGAGAAAGAACATAATCCAGATACATGTGTTGTTGCAAGTGTGTCAAATGTCAACATCATATGTGTGTCTGTTTTAAAATAGCCAAGTTGTTTGTGTGTGTACTTGAAAGTTTTTCCCTATCTCAACGTCACGTTGTCTTGTCTTTCTCTTTAGTAGAACAAATAGACGTTTCTCTCATTATACAAAAAGTATTTCATTCTATTTTCTGACACTTTATATTAGCATACTCTATAACTACACATGACACATCTATTCGCTATAAATGAAATGTCAATGTTATTGAAATGGTTTATTTTTTCGATTTTTTTTCTATCGCAATCTATGAACTTGTTGAATAAAACGAATGAAAACACATTTTCGCTGTATGACACTGTGTACGTCACAATTTAAATGGGGGTGATTATCCACGGAATATTGGCAATGATGTTTATACACCAATAGCAATTGGTTGGTGAAAGTAATCCGGACAAGGAGAAAGTCATTCATGAGTTTCAAGACCGCCTGCATGGCGCTTTGAACAACAAGAATATGGGACTCTATGTAAAAGCATTCATGAGGTAAGCCTTACCAATTTTTCAACATCATTTTCATAACATTTTGCATAATTTTTCGTTAAAAAGAGAATTTCTCACTTTCGATACGACCATCGGATTTTTCATTCGTGCAAAAGCAATTTTTTTTATTTTCAAAAAGATGGTGCAATAAAATGGGTATGAAATGAGCGGGAGGTTGAAATGATGATTGAAATATTGCACCAGACAAAAACCGTTTTTAAATTACGATTATTTGATATGGTAATCGACAAATTTTAACTGAAAAAAGTTGTTTTTCACTTAAATTAACTTGAGCGGTACCATTTCAATGTTTTTTCTTTTCATTTCGTGATGTAATTTTATCACATTTTTCTTACAATTTCATGTGCTGTGGGAATTATGTCGATTGACTGTCAATATTTGGGGAAAAAAATAGTCGTAAAGATTTATCATTGAAAGATTGCAAAATCGATGCGCTCCTAATAACTGGCATGCTATCGCCATATGCAACGGTCGTCGAGAAGCTTCATCGTGACGTAAATAAGGAACGTGTCACCATGTTAAAAGTTGAACGAGCTGGCGATGTTCTGGTTGATGCTGTAAGTCAAGCAAATATAGCCGATGGCAATTTGAAATGCTCATTAAACATTCATGGTATTGTTTTCTTAATGTTTGAATAAATAGCCAGCAAAGGTAGCCCAATCAATTTTGCTGTTCTGCAAAGGCCAAGGTCTTTTAACATCGGTTGCAATGCCCGGGGTAAGACGAACTTTTCCGCACGGTGGTAGTTGCGTATTTTATTAAGCTATATATTCGGCATCGAAATATTCTTTAATTTAATAGCAGAAGTACTCGCAAAAGATTTTTCACACTATCATGATGAACCCATTTGTACGACATTTGAAAGTATTCTATTTTCTAACAAAACACTATGAAAAATATGTCTGACGTTAATTTTGCCATAAAAATTATTTTTGAAACACTTTTCATAACTAAAGTTACAAAAAATTCGGATTTTTGTATGGATGCCATGTCTGTATGCTATCTTAATGGCATGAAACTTTGTACAGGTTATTTTTTTCACAAAAAATAACATTCGGAGGGTTTGGAAAAATTTCAACCAAAATTAAGAGTACCTCCCATACAAATTTTGTATGGGAGTCAGATTTTAAATGACTTTTCTGGGGGGTGAGATAATCGATGAACAAATTTTGCGTACGGCGGACAACGTACGACGTGGAAGCGACCTACAACAACCATGCTCAAAACGGCCTGATTCGGGTTCTCTGACCTCAGAAACGTCCAGAAAACATGTTTTTAAGATTTCGTAAATTTTGACCTATTGCAATACTTTCCCCTTTCACACTAGGTTGATCGCGGACGCGCATTCAGCACCAGCTCGGGCGGTTCAAATGATGGTTCATTATTGGGGCCACGTCGCCTTTCTCGCGGCATGTCTATGGAAGAATATGATAAACCAAACATTCGTCGACTCAGCATCACCGTCAACAACGATGGCATTCCAGTAACTGGACGAAAATAAATTCAATGAATAAACAATTAAAGCTAATTGAAATACCATTTTGAAAATGGTTTACAAGAGAATATACAAGTTACAAGAGAAATGAAACATATGGATAGAAGTCTTAAGATTGACGCTGTAGTAGACCACACGGATTGACAAGTGAACTATTCTCCAGAACAATTTTACTCTGTTTGATTATACAACTCTTTTTATATCTTACATTTCCAATTTTTATGATAAAATTCACACATTTATTAGAAGTCTAACGACTCTATCGTTTTTTTTGTTTGTTCCTAATATTCGATATTTTATTTCATTTTTTTTATTGTTGTTGGTTTTATGTTTAAAGAAATATGTATTTTTGAAGAAATTGTATTAGTTATATTGGTAACTTTAAAAAAAATATGTCATATTTGTTTCAAATTAAGCAAGGAAAGGTTATCTATCAAATTAAGACGATGAAAATTACACAGTCTATTCAATGTTGACCATCTGAATAACTTTATTACCGTAGATGATAAATTATACTCTTTAACCATATAACATAATGCTCTAAATAGAAGTAAAATATGATAGAATGATTTTGTGCATATGCATAAAAAATAGTGAAATAATGTGCTTTCGTTTTTTCTCTCTCAATCTGATACCTCCTTCTAATCGGCTCGCATTTATTCCAACATCCACTGATTGAAAAAGTCGTAAATTCTCTATCGGAGAATCAAGGAGAGAGTTCGCCATAAGGAGGGGGGTTATACAGTTATACCTGTATTCAACGTAGTAAATGTGTATCAATAAAGTAATAATAAATGATTTAAATCTGCATCGCCATTTATCTGATTAATTTGCACAAGAGCATTTTTCGTAGTAAAAAAACTTGAATTTAATGATAGAAACTCTGATAATGGAAAAAAAAAAGATACATAAAATATAAGGATAGTAAAGAAGGTCATATTGTCGCCTCTTTCTCTCGCAATTTCGATAGTCCGTATTAAAAGAAAAAAAATATTAACCACTAAGCAAACCATTTCGTACCATAATAAAATTCATATCAATTTGACGATATGTTAATGCACCGAAAACAATGTTCAAAATTTATGAGAAAACAAACCGATAAGCGATATAAACCGATTTTCGGCTAAAACAAATTTACCGAAACATGTTTAGAATAAAAAAAATATGATCCAACTGTTGACAATGTAGTATTGATATAAGCTCACTGAAACAACAGACAAAATCGCACACACATCAGCACCATCATAATCATTTTATTCATAGCAAATAGACGAAAATCCAAATGACAAAACAAATACAAACGGTACCTTTTTTCCACTATTTCGAGCCGACGATATTTTTACACAGCTCCCACGCAATACAAGTAGACTTTTTTTAGCATAATACTTGCAAAATCAAATGACCCGATAATTTGAAAGAGAAAGAGATAGTAGACAATTTGATTAAATGACTTTGGTGTAGAATGAAATTCAATGGATTTAAGCTTAAAAATGGAGTGTGTGAACCATTGCAAAAGCGATATTGTATTTGAACAGGGCATTTTATTGGACATGATGAGCCATTTAGAGTTGATGTTTTCGCTATGAAATGCAGCTTTATTATCGAAATATTTATAGAATTAAATAATGACCTTTTCAGATGCGCCATACACTTTGGATAAATTGATTTATATCATAAGAGATTTAATGTTTGGGATCAGAATCAACATTTTATTTTATGTGTACTCTATTCAAGGATCATCAGTATAAAAATAGATATCTCAATAAAAATACATTGGCACTTATATTTACCAAACTCTGAACGAATGGTTTTTTTTATTATCAACTTGAATTTACTAAAAACCGGTAACTTTTAATAATTGAATTTTCTCGATAGTTATTTTGAATATTAGAAATTACCAAGTTATCTTTTTCACACTCGGTTAATTTAAAATAGTAGTTGCAATAGAAGTAAAAAAAGACAAAATTCAGCACACCAATCCAAATCATTCATCAGAGCGAAATAGTTGAATAAACCTATCATCATTGAATGGATCTTCTGGATGTGTCACTCCATATGTTTGTCTCTTTCCTTCTCATGATAAAATGTATTTGAATTTGACAGTTAGTATGACATTTGCCACAGGTTCTTTTACTTGAAATACTAATGGGTGCATATTATGACGGACACTTTGTTAATTTAACCTTTTGGCTTTGATTGTTGTTATCACTTGCAGAATATGATAGATTATTATTGATGAAAATGTTAATAATTGGTTTGTTGTCCCCTTTTGTAGTGATTGTTATGTTTGTATTTGGTAGCTGTATTACGACTTCATTGGATTCATCGGTTTGGATTATTGGATTACTGGGTTTATCGGATCCATCGGATACAGGTAATAGAGTTTTTACATCATTTGGTTTGCGTTTTTGTTCCAAGCATTGGTCAAGTCCAGCTCCCCAGCATCCAGCATCTGTACATTCGTCTGAACAAAACAGGCCATCGAGTTCTATGCAAATAAGGAACAATATTGATAAATGTTGGACCAATATCGTAGAAATTTGCTTTAAATTAAATATATACTCACTACAATCCATTTGTTCGCGATTGTTGGAAATCACCGATTCATGATTGTCTACCTTTTTTATTTTCTTCCAGGCAATATCGCCGGCAAAGCAAAGATTTTTGTTGTCTAATATCACAACGGCTCCCGAATTAATTTGTTTTAATGAACGTAACTCCAATGATTTCAAATTGGTTTTGACAATATAAAGCGACGCAAAGGATGTATCGAGTAATTGACGACCACCAATAATTTCGAGATTTCGAAAATATGATAAATTTGTGAAATGAGTGTGATCGGCTTGAATGTTTATATAGCCGGTAACTTCACGCAATGTTGAAAACACCTCCAAACGATCCGGGTGCATTTTAATGTATCGTTCGCCAAATGATAAATTGGCAAAAACCTGTTGATAATCGTTAAATGTTTGATCCAAAATTTCAAGGTTTCCTTCTATAATTGTACATCCACGGAATGTATCAATATTTCCCGAATGAATGATACCAACACCCGGACAGATTTTTGGACAAGGACCGTTACAAGTGACACATTCACCATTTTTCGCCATTTTATTAATTGAACATGTTTTTACGCAGGCTCCATTATCTTTAAGTAAATGCTCTGGACAATTTCTAACACATGTTGCGCCATACGTATATTTTCCCTCCGGATTTGCTTCCCATAAATACTTGGTTAGATTATACTTTAGCAGCGGTGGGCATTCATCTTTACAAACACCATCATCGTAAAAGTTTCGACATGCCAAACAATTATTTTGTGTTGGTCCTGTACAACCGCCAGCACAAAATAAATGACAACAATCACGTGGATTTGGACCAAAGCACCGACCCTCACCACATTGTGGCGAACAATTTATTTTGCTGAATTTCTGACAGTTGTGGGCTCCTTCACCCCAACATCCAGCCGTACAAGATGCATGACATTTAGGACACACTGGCTCGGGAAATGTAAATTTATAGATATATTTTGAAGTTTCTCCCGGTCCTATAAATATTTAAACATTATACTCTCTTATCATCGAATCGACTTTCTCTAATAAAATATTAAAAATGTACCTGTAATAATTTCATCCCAATTGATTGTTCGAAGGAAGCATAAATTCTGGTTATTAAATATAAATACCGATCCAGATGAAATTTCACGTAATGCTGGTAATTCTAGAGAATCCATTTTTGAATAGCTAACGAATAGGCCAAATTGCTCGTAGAAAGTGTTTAATTTGAATAAAGTTCGACCACGAATAATTTGTAAACTAGAATAACATATATTTAAGTAGAATTGATTTCATTTCTATCTATAAGTAAATTATTCAAATCAAACAAAATTAGTTTCATCAGTTTTATTACCGTGGTAAAATAATATTTTTTGCATCTACATGGCTGATTAGAACATATCCGCTTACTTCTCGAATATTTTGTAAAAAGTCGAGATCCATTTTTGAATCGTCGAGCCATGTCAATTCCAAATTCCCATCAACATGTGTGCAATTTGTAAAACGATCGCGCAAGTTACGATAATGATGCTGTCGATTTGGTGGTACTGACATCCGACCATTTGTACCGATGCAAACTATAAATTGAAACAATATTTTTCGCATATAATGTGTGCCGAATATTTTGATTGGATTTTATATTTTTTTATTCCATTAAGAACCGATCTTACCTCTGACGTCTTGTGTGATGCTATTTGCATCGCAGATAGAAATTAACAAAGCAAATAAACCAAGAAAGAGTTTGAGAAACATCTTTGAAAAATGTATTTCCAGAAAAATGTCACTTTAAATCATTCAAACAGTGTTTTTCAAATTTTAATTTTTGAACTTTATTTGTTTGTTCAACACTTCATGCAATCAATAGAACTTATTATAATAAACAGCAAACGAAGACTTAAAATGAACTGATTGTAATAATGAATTTAAAAAAATGAAATATACTCGCGTAGACGAAATAATTATCATGCTATTTGCTTTTTTCAAAACAAAACGATAAGTCATGTGGGATTTCTTTCTGTGTGATCACACAGGGTGAAGTTAGGTTGAAAGTTCATAGAAAACAGAATAAAAAAAACATAGCATATCAATCAGTTCGTAGGATAACATGTAGGTAGCGCCACTAACACAAAATCCTTTCTATTTTTGAAAGTACCATTTTTCAAAGGACTTCTGACGAAATATGAGCCTCAACCGTTCAATGAGTCAAGAATTACGACAATTGAACCTCCAGTTATTCTCTTTGATTGATTGTGAGAAAAATTTTAATTCCACAATTCAATGCATTGACAGAAAATATTTCAGAAAAACTATACAATTATGAAATGTGGGAAAATATCGTTGTTATTTATTCTTATATGTTAGTATTGGTCTCATTACATTTTTCATCATGTTGGTTGGGTCGCTTAGTCTTACTTGCAGTGAAAAATTCTTGGATATGTTCCAGTGTTTTATTCTCTGTTTCGGGTAAAATAAAGAATAAAGTCACACACCCCAACACAGATACAGCTGAATAAATCCAAAATGTCCCGTTCAGTGTGAACATAGAGGTCAATGAAATGTATGTTTTATTCGAGACAAATCCAACCAAATAACCGATCGCACTCGATATACCAGCTGCCACATTACGGACATCCAATGGATAGATCTAAAAATATATAGAACTTTTTGAGTATCAGAATGCTATTTCCAATTCTTATTTTCACACCTCTCCGATTAACATCCATGGAAACAATTTTGCACCACTATGACCAAGCATCGTGCCGAGTAATAATAATATAAATGGTAGCCAACGATAAATGTCATTCGTTTCAACATGTTCACTAAGATATGATAGCATCGACAATCCAAAAAAGCATAAGCCACATCCAATGAACGAGGCGAATACCAGAGGTCTTTTTCCTGTTGATCGTATAAATACTGTACCAATTAAGCAACCAATTACTTGTGCGGCCCCAAGGAAAATGGTGGCATAATATTCGTCGATTGGAACACGATAAAATATCAAAATATCGAAAGCATACGTTTGAAGTGGCGTTATTCCGGAAAAGTGTTGAAATATAAAACTGACAAATATTAAACTGAATGGCAAAATGAAACCGCGTTTCATAAATCGTTCCAGTGTATTTCTCCACGTTTTAACGGGACGATTTTTTTTATCAGCTCGGAGCTTTTCAACTGCGCGAATAACTCCTTGAAATTCGGTTTCGACTGCTTTAAACGATACCCACCCTCGTAACCACTGCAACGACTTTTGAGATTCTTGAATACGATTTTTCTGATATAACCAAAGTGGACTTTCAGGCACTAAAAATACAGCATTAAATGCAACGAAAGGAGCAATAGCCGAAATTGCAGCCACCGTTCGCCAATGCAGCATTGAACCCATGATAAATTGTAAGCACACACCACCCAATACAACACCTGTTCCGAACGCTGTTAACATGCCACGATATTGAGGTTCTACCGTGTCGGCGATGTAAATTAACAACTACACAAAAAAAGATAAAAAATCATATCACATTTAATAGCCAATTTTTATTAATGTAATAAACCAACCGGCGCCTCTAATAGCCCACCACTCATTCCAGATAATCCAAGTGCAAAATAAATGTGTGTAATATTTTTTGAAAAGTAAAATATTGCCCATGCAGCCATCATCGGAAAATTCAAAAGCTACCGAAAATAATTACACAATAAAAATAATTAAAACGAACTTCACTCATTCCAAAGCCAAATTCAAAACGTTTGAAACTCCATGCACACCTGCATCATTCTACGTTTTCCAAGTGCGTCCATTAGTAAGCCCGATGTTAAACTACCCAATGGAACACACAACAAATTGATGGAACCAATCCAACTTTTCTCTTCGTTAGTTAGCAAAAATTCTGGTTCTGCCGTCGAATTATCCCTTTTACTTTCCAAACCAGGCAATAAAATAGTTGGATAACCTAAAATGAACCCCCATCCTTTTGTCCCATGGGCACGAAGAAAAAAACCAATTTCAAAATACAACACAATTTTCAAGCAACACATTTTCACATTTACCCAATAAAATCAAATTCTTTACACCGACCACACAAAATTGAGGCAGTGCACGACGGAAATCACTAACTTCGCCTTTAATTTGAGTATTAGAATTTGGCGATGAATTCATACTGTTCAGTATGTATAAAAAATACATTAAAAAAATGTCAAAAATGAAAAACCAAATAAAGATAAACAGATATTGCACTTTTTTTGAATATATCGTATATATGGTGTAGCGTTGTATTGCCTACAATTTTAAAATTTTAAAATTGTAGGCAATACAACGCTACATCATATATTCAAAAAACTCAGCAATACAAAATTTTCACATTTATATCGTATATACATTTACGTCGCAATCGATATATTGAAAAAATATCCAATATCTGGACGGTAACAATTATGTATGATAAAAACACCCAGAATCAGTTGCATTTACCCGTAGTTTTGTGGCATTTTAAAATGCTACGTATATTTGATACATTAAATTTATGTTCCCTAGTTTATTTGAAAATACGAGATTTTGATAAGAAACAACCGTTCACAATCAAGTCTTCAAAGGAAAGATTGGGAACCACTTGGTCGATGCCATGTTTAAAAAAAAAAATACAAAACACTTTTATGTGATGATATAAACACATATTATCTGAGAGAACGTGATAGGTATGGAAAATTGTAAGCAAGAATTATATTGGACAATTAAAATTAGGTTCAGTAACAATCCGACGGTCATGACCGGATATCGCCCGAGTATGGGTTTAATAATTATGTACCTTGCGTACCTTCCAGCTTAGTGCATTTTTGTATGGGAATTGGAATTTTATTTTGAAGTTGATTTCCTTCTCTGGCGATGAACACTTCAAAGACTTCAGTGCTAAAATGAGAAAAAAAGGGAGGAAGAGTACATAATTAGTACATAGTTAATTCCTACGCTTTAAATTGTTGGAAATTATAAAAAAGAAAATCCTCTTTATTTGAAAAATGGTGCCCATGGGCCATGGCTGGGTTTCACATAATTGCGAGTATATTTAGAATCTGATTTCATGGGTGAAGAAAACATTATTATTACACCCATACTCGGGCGATATCCGGTCATGATCGTCGGATTGTTACTGAACCTTGAAATTATAGTCGTATATACAGTGCCAAGCTACTTGGTAGTAACGCTTAATGTATATATGAACTGTGCTGATGTCGTTTGTAAAATGTATTGAGAAAGTAATATGATTTATCTTAAAATACAGCTTTCTTCAGATTTTTATACAAATTCTTAAAAAAAACACATTTCGAAATAAAATCATTTTTCCGATCGAATTTTCCATAAAGAAATGATAATTTTCATCGATCTGAATAAAATTTTAAAGTGAACACATTTACTGAAAACAATTATTAGGCTTCATAATACATAGATAATTATTTTACTGTTTTGATTGCCCTTTCTACTTTTATTAGGTATTAATTAATTTATTCAGCACAAATGTTCAAATACGCGGTAATAAACAAATCTTTGCAGATAAAATTGGAGTTATTACTTGATAACGATTTTTATTTTGATGATTTTCAAAAAATTCCTTGTATAATTAGATTAACATGCTTGCTTATGTATATAATAAACACACTTCTAAACGGTGTTTTATTTCGAATGAATTTTACTAAATCAAATACAATCAATTACAGTTACATTTCTCCATTTGTTTGAAAACCATGAACTAATCTTGATATATCATATCCAGATTAATTTTTTGTTATAGATTTTTTTTTTACTTTTTAATTTAGTTGGCCTGTAATACAGTATATCAACTAATAGAACAATATTTGATAAACATTTTCTGAACAAACTGTGAAATTTCAGTGGAAAATCTAAATAAGTACTTTTTTAGCTTAAAATGACTGCCAACCTTTTTCACCATGAGTATGTGAAGTTTGAAGTGACTCTGTTCAAAATTCGGACATTTTCTCAATAAAACTTTACATTGTTTCACAAAAAAATCGAACTTTTGTACTGGAAGTACCTCAAATTTTTTGTCAATCCACGCTGATGTGTAATGAATTATGAACAACACCATTTGGGCGTAGGTTTTAATTACATTAATGAATTGATAATTTTTTTTTTCCTTATTACATGTGTTAATGATAATAATAATCGTATGAAGTGATGATAACAACAGTCAGTATATCTTACGCTAAAAGTCAAAACTTGTCGTAAACGGTATGCAAGAAGCATCGAAGGTCACATTTCATTGAATCTATTTCAGCAGATCTATATTTAGTAGATAAAGTGGAATTGATGATGATAACACGCCGAGAATCATCCTCTTCCTCAACTTACTCAAACGTAAACTTACTAGATCATAGAACAACTAAGCAATAGAGTTATAAATACTCATCTACATTATATGGTCTGCCCTTCTTTCTTATTTGTCTTTTTTTGTTTGAGTGCGATTTATAATATTTTGAATGGTTTCACCGTTTGCATCAAATGATTACGTTGTCAAAATAGGGAGGAGACACAAACGATTAAACCATGATTCCAATATATGAACACTAATCCTACTATTCCACCAATCCGTCATTTCATTCACTTTGTTGAAAACTTATTTATCGACACTGGAGTATGACATTTTGTTATTGATAATTCAAATTATTTTTTTTCTATTGTTTTGTAAATTTGTATTCGACTTTAAAACTGAAATATATTTCAAAAAAGAACAAATTACTATCTCCAAACAAGTTCAATGCTTTGATCAAATTCTGTACTATCGATTACAAAAACATTGAATCTAACCCATTTTCGCTATTCCATACATGGGATTAGTGAATCCATGTGAATCCAGTTACTGAATTGTCTATTCCACTTTAATTTCTCGAATTTTTACACTAAAAGTCTAATCCTATTCTACGTGTCTACCCCCTAGTATTCGTCACGTATGTTGAAAGATTAACAAACTGGTGATTTCTGGTCATGTTGACTTCTTTTTAGTGTATATGTTTACACACAAAGCAGAATGCAGAGAAAACCGTTTAAATTGCGTTGTATTAATTAAAGTTTCAATGAAATTTGAATTCACTCATTCACATTTTTGTCAAAGGTTCCATTGAATACATTTTCTGCAAGTAGAAAAATATCTATTCTTTTTTAATGTATTTAATAATCATAAGAATCCTTCTGAGAGCCGTTGATGGTGTAAGGTTCTTGAATTTTCGCTCAACGGTTTCAAAGTCAGCAATTTCCACCTATAAATTAAAGTAAATAATAGATTTATTCGATTATCATTAATTCGATCAATAAACCAATTTTACGAAAATTTCAATTTTTTTTTCTTTTTTTTTTTGAATCGAAAATCTCTTTCATCATTTATATGACATGCGTTTAGTTCAATAATTTACCTCATCGCATGGGTCTTCTTCGAATGACAAGTTATTCAAGAATCTTTCGGCAAATGCGACTAAACCGCACCAACTGCGAAAATTAATTGTCGAATGATCTTTATCATTAATTTCGGTTAATTTGATAATTTGTTGAATTTTTTCCAGCATTTGTTCCACCGGACCACAGTAGCCAAGTACATTTGTAAAAGCGTCGATGAGATCGTTGAATGACATAACACATTCCCTATACACATTTGGCTGAATAGATTTTTCATTTGTTGTTTGGCTTGGAGTGGCTCGTTCCAGTTCATTTTCATCTTCATTTTCATTGTCATCCATATCTTGTTGGTCGTTCATTTTGCATATGTATTTATTGAATACAAAACGATACAAATTCTTTCGATGGTCCGATATCCAAACATATTGGCTCAAATACTCAAAAGCAGTTAGTGTCGTGAGTTTTTGTGTGTTAATTGGTAGACTAAAACGAGTAGCCGATCTCATGAACTGTCGCGGCATTATCAGCCATTTGTCATTGTTTACAGAATTTTCAACGCCAAATTTATTTTCATTGAATTCATGTAAAGCAGCATTGCTATTGTTGAATTGGTCCATTGGAATTGTTTGGAAAGCCTCTTTCAATGCGGTATTCATCTGTGAATAAAATAAAATGATCAACAATATTTCGGGGCTATCAACTTGAAGTCACTAATGCTTACAAATTTCTCAAATGCACTTTCAACAATGTCAATATCAAGACCGCGTCGTAAAATTTTCAGAGCGTCTTCAGTAATGAAGTTTGAGCGAAGGTATTTACAGTTGCGTGTCCGTTCTGTAGTTGAATCTTGTGTTGAGCCCTTAACGATTGTATCTTTAATTGGTATCGATGGTCGTGCACTTGCATTTGGTGAGTCCGGGCCAAGTGTTGTAATCTGTGTTTCCGGTTCTTTGTCGATGCGAAATGTGTTGCCGTCTTTATGTTTTTTCTTTTTCTTGCCACGCCGTCGAAACCCCTCAACTTCGTCTTCAATATTCGTTCGATCGTTAATGCATACAACATTATTTGGAACGGGTGGTTCGTCTTTTTGCATTTGTAATGCATTTCGTTCGGCTGATTTTTTGCGTGCCTCTTGTTCACATAGTCGCATATTCTTTGGCTGTTGTGATTGTTGATCGATTTTCATCACTGATTTTGCCGTCAAATTCACCGAATCGGCTTGAATTGATATTTCGGATGCATTACAATAAACAATTGTTTCTTGGCTGTGACTTCGACGCAAATCTAACACCAGTTGCTTTCGCTCGTTGGCGCATGTGTTCACTGGGTCTGGTGTATGGCATCGTCTACGATGAAATAAATACGATGTCTGACTTACACGTGTTCGATTACTGATAATTGTCGGCGTTGGCGTTGGGGTCAATGGACGCGAATCCGAATCGGCATAATGAAAATAATCGTCAGACAATTTTCGTGTATCGTCGGTTGTTTGAGCAGCCGTTATATTGATCAATTCACAGCTAACATCACCACAACAATGATCTAGTATTGGACTTAAATGCCCTTTGCAATCACGTTCTTTCACCTGTTTTACCACATCTTTTATCTCGTTGGGCCCAGGATGATTGCATAAAATCGAACAATTCCGTGAATATGGATTGAATAGGCTGGCAAATGGTCGCAATGAATATTGTATGGGTTTTGTACATTGCAATAAATTTAAATCACGCTTGGAATTCTTTCGTAATTTTGTATTTAATTTACGATGTTTTCGAGGACTCAGCAATAAACCGGTTCGACTGATCGGATTACCTTGACTCATTTTTCAAAATGAAAATTATACACTATTAATTCAAAGTTAAATGTTCAAACGAAAAACAAAGGTGAAAGGAATTACGTCTCTGGGATACTTTATTGACTGAATTATTTTATGGTTGCTATGGTGACTTCCAAAATGACTTTTTTTGTTTATTAAAATTAAACAATTTTATTTTGCTAAGGAACACACAATTATTATGTCATATTTAAAAATTATACATTCAATTTTATGTCTACATTAACAATACATAATTATAATTTTTTCAGTAGAGCTGTTGCTTCTTCCTTGCACTTTTTGTCATCATCGTTCCTGCAATGAAACAAATTGAAAATTATTATCGAATTCATATAAAAATCGAATTTCAAATTTTCTACAAAAAATAAATTCCCAAAATATACTTACGATACTTGAACGTTGGCAGCCCTTTCAAGAAATTGCTTGGCTTCTTCATAATTTTTCAAATTGTAGTAGCATTGACCGATGTATAGTAAATTCAATGAACAGAAATTTGGTTTCTTCTCTTCAGCTTTGAGGAAATATTCAAGTGCTTCTTCGTAGGTGCCAGTGGGTGGTGTTGCAAAAATGGCTGAAACAATTTTTCGCTGATACCACGACATGTCGGCCAATCCGAATGCAAAATTGCCCAACAAATGCCAGCTGATTTTTAAATTTATTTATGATTTGTTACTATCATTACCATTCTCAACATAGTTACTGTTATTTTACCTAGTTGGATCCTCCGGGTTCAATTCGACAGCTCTTTCCATATGTTTTTTAACATTTCCCAATTGAGAAATGCGCGCTTTAATGCCATCCAATTCATTTTTGGCATCCAATAAGATTGCGTACCATTTCTGAACATCAACATTTCTCTCATCGAGCTCCAATGATTTGACTATCAAATCGTATCCCTCGCGAACGCTCTCTTCTTTTTTCGCTTTATTCGTTCTGGATAATTTGAATAAAGCACGTGCTTCTCGCCACAAAACATTTGCATCCGATTGATTCTATAATAGATTTATGGGTTTTAGATGGGCCAGTTGAAAAAATGTTAATTTCTTATTTATCTCATTTTCAATTCAAAGAACAGTCATTTGAAAGGCAAATTGTACCGGATATTTTTTTAGTAGATCAATCGCATCTTGATACTGATTTTCGTCAAATAATTGATCGGCATTTTGTAGCAAATGTTTTATTTCAGTTTCCTGGGCCATTTTCAACTTTGAGCCACCAAAAAACGCTAATGACCAACAAATTTTACGATTCATCGATTCTTGCGCAGCGCTCTGAAAATTGAAATAAATTGAAAACAATGGCATTAAATTAAGTTCGATGGCAAAAAAAATGATTGGATGGTTGAAGACACCGTTGAATGTAACTATTTTTATTTTATTATTGACCAATTTTTTTTCAAAGAAAAGAAATCATTACTTCAATGATTGAACCTTGACAGTCGACACGAAAGTAACAACAATCGATCCATCGCATAGAACGTCAGTTAAACACTAAAGGTCTTTGTCGTTCTTTTATTTGATATTATGTATTTAAATGGAGTGCAAGCAGCGCCATACACATTGAAATGCGAATTTCAAAGAAAGAAGAAAACCATTGACCAACAGATGGAGTTTAGTGTGTAAATTCAACTTTTATTGTAATTTATTATGTGTAAATAAAGAAAAGAATTTTTTGTAATAATTGGAATATGAATAATATTGAAAATATTGCAATGTATAAAATTCAGACAATAAATTGAACTAACTGGTCAGTTGAGCTGAAAGTACGTTAGCTAGCTAAATGAACTAAAACAATAGAAGTTATTGTTATAATGAACAATCACTTCTATTAAAACAAGAAAAGTGATTCATCATTAAAACAATAACGTCTATTGTTTTCGCTCAACTGACCAGTTAATTCAATATATTGTCTGATAAAATTCGTATTAATTTGTTTGACTGGGTGTCGAGCTTAGCAAAACAAACATAACCCATAAATGTAAAACAGCCACATAAACAATAGTCATTGTACGAACTAATGGATAACGACGTAAGAATACACCCAATCGAACCCCGGCCGCATCCAAAGATGAATACGCTCGTTTCATACGTCTCGCAACGCGCGTATCAAATGGATTTTCTCGCATAAAATTTGGCACTTGAGATTTTGCATCGTCTGTATCATTTACATTTATGATTTGCGGCAGTCGTTGGTGTCTCAATAGTGTCATAGTTTCACGATGTTGACTCTCCAATTTCTCCAATTGAATTCGAATCGCATTCCGTTCGGCGGTTACCTGTTCAAGTGAATTTTGTTTTTGTACAAGCGACTGCGTTAGGGAATAGACACGATCATCAGTACTATTTAGTCCAGTTGGCATTGCTGATGTATTTTGCTGTTTAGATAATTTGGTGCGTAATCCAATTAGCTCGTTTTCTCTGCGAAAAAAGTAATAATTTTAATAAAAAAAAAAAAAGGCTGAGCGTAGGGAAAAACTACTACTATACTTTTCATGCAATTTGGTTGACGTTAAAGTTTGTTGTCTCTTCAGTTCATCACGAACAACCTTCAGTTCTTTTGCCTGTGTACGCATCGTCTCCTCCATTTGGCTGTATTTCAATTTTTCCTGTTTCAGTGCATTTGATAACGACTTCTCACTGTCACTCGATCGCAATTCAATTTCCTGTAATTTGCATTCAAGCGTGCTAATTATTTGTTTATTCGCATTCAATTGATTGCGCAACATATTATTTTCCTCAAAAAATGCATCACGCTCCTGTTTCATTGCGGTCAATTCGATTTGTTTGCATTGCACATCAATATCCATATCATCATTTGTATCACTTTTTTTGTGCATGGACTTTAGTTCGGCAATTAGTTCATCTTTCATTTGCAATGTGTGCTGTGCTCTTGATCGGTATTGCTGTAATTCAAAGACTGCTTGTTCGGTTTCAGTTTTGGCCATTGCAAGTTTCTCATTCATTTCCATGGTGGCTTCATGCATTTTGGCCACACTCACTTCGAGTTGCGAAATTGTCTTGGTGTAACCGTTATTTGCCTCTTCAAATTCATCCATTTTTCGCTGTAGACTTTCGTTATCAGTCGACAATTGATCACATGTGGCCGTTAATTCAGATACTAAATCCTCCTTTTGTGCAATAATCAATTGATTTTTTAGTTCGATAATTTCGGATTTCATTTGATCACGTTCCGCTTTCAATTGGGCGAGAATAATTCGGGATGCCATCATTTCATTTTTTTCTTCAATTGAGCCGTGCATTGAACTAGAAGATGTAGACGTGTGCATTATATCGACATTTGTGGTCGATGTGTCAGCGGAATGTTTGGCAATTGGGTATTCGATAACTGTTTGAATTCCTTCAGTGCGTGAACTGCATGAGCTTCGACGTGAAGAATTCGATGCGTTTGATTTTGGTAGATTTAATTTGGTGCCATCGTCTCCATTAACAATATTGTTCAGTTTTGTTCCATTTTTAATCGATTCGTCATTGTCTTGGGTCGCTCGGTCGACCGGAGTGTATAAAGTTTTTTTCGGAGATTTCGGTAGTTTTAATGCATTTGACGTAATACTTCGTATAGCTGGCGAACCATTTGTTATTCTATTTTTCCTAATGATATCTCCATCGACAATATCGTCGCCTGTTTTCACTTCAATCAATTGATCACGGTCGTTTGAATCATTTTTCAAAACACTGGCCGCATTTTGATCAATCTTATTGAGAATGTTTTCAGCCTTTCCCGCTAAGTCAGTGAACCATGATGACATTTTTTTTACTCAAAAATTTAAACACTACAATATAGAGAAAATGAAAATCCATGCAAAAACACAAAAACTAATCGACAATTGTGTCAAACTCTTCTTCTTTTCCTTTGTTGGGTCTATAATGTTTGTTATTTGTTTTGCATTAGAAAATAAGCTTGACGTTTGAGTGTTGTCGTTGCCTCTATATGTCATTCAAATATAAATTCCGTATTAAGAACGCCATCTAGAGTCTCAATGGTAAACGACTAAAGCCGCACGTTTATCTTTGCAATCTATTTAAATCTATGCCAAAAAAGTTGCCAACGATATAATCCATAACAATCAGAAATATGAACAGTTGATTTGGCGTATCACGAATCAACCCGATACTCGATATCGAAACAATAAGTTACCAAAGTTTTCAAATGCCACAGCAATTTACCACATTTAAACAAACCATGTAGATCTTTTAACAAGACCAAAGTTCGTATAGGTCTGAAAAACAAATTGAAATAGTCTCACCAAGCACTTTTCATCCGAAAACGATTTGAAGTTCATTTGGCTCCATTGTAATTCCTTCACATAGAAGATAGGCATACAGAGAATATACTTTTGTACTGCAATAAAACTATGTACCTTAATAAAAGGTTTTATTGAAAGAAAATATAAGCCGATGCTCATATGAAGTTGAGCTTACGTATCTCACTTTAAAAAATGGTAATTTTGGTATTCTTGAGAAGTAATGCACAGTCAATTTTTTTTAATGCAGGTAAAAAATAACTTGACGACAATATTACTCTCCAATACCATTCAATACGGTTTCAAGTGTCAATGTGAAAACATCCTAAATTATCTTAAGGATTTGTTTATAGTTTATTTAATATCATCGTTTTTTTCAAATAAAAGAGTGTTTCATTGAGATAAAATTCGTTTGTAAATCGATTCAGAAAATATAAAAATGAGTCGAATTCTTTCTGCACGTGTATACGAACCGAGGTCAAATGTAATTTGCATGTATCCGATGCCACCATCCGTACGTTAGATATTTTATAATGTCATTTTATGTTATTAAAACTAAAAAAATTACGTTAAATTCGTTATTGATAAAAAAATTCGTACTATATAAAGAGTGTTTGACTTTATGAATTTCAGTTTTCGGCGGATCAATACGATTGCTTAAAACAACTGGGAAAGCCTCGATTTATTGGATTTGAATCTCTATTTGCGTACGTTGAATTCGAAAAAGAAGACGAATCCATCGTAAAACAACTAATATCCAAAGGTGGAATGTACATTCAAGACAAGGAAATTCGAGTCTTAGGATATATACCTAAACTCAGAAGTTGGGACATTTTGAATTACTTTGAACTATTATTACAACCCCCCGATCAGGATTCACCGAAAAATATTTTGAATGCGCTAAATGATGATTGTTTACGTGAAATAATGAAAAAATTACACTTTACCACGCTAAATTCGATTGTGAATGTTTGTTTACGTTTTGATCGTGTTGGCATGGAGGCATTCTCAAACAAATATCTTCACAAAAAAATCGATATTTTTGATTTGGAATATAATCGCCGCCCCACAATGGCACAAATCGAACATTTTCTCATCAAATTTGGTTCAAGAATTTCATCATTATCAATATTAAACAGTCCATCTATTGCAAGTCATAACGAGGCGGAAAGAGTTAGTCTATTTGAAATGTTTTGCCGATACTGCAAGAATCTGAATAGCTTGGAACTCAGTTTGCTCTACATAAGTAATGAAACATTGTACGAAAATCGGCCAATATTTGAAAAATTAAAGAATCTACGCTTGTATTTTGCTCCCTCAGCTATTTTGGATATAATATCTGTTTGTTCTAAATTGGAAACTTTAGAGATACACACTTTTGAAGAAATAGATTATGATGACGTCTTCAAAATGAAATTATCTGTTATGCCACCAAAAATCGGATTACCGAAATTAGTTGAAGCTCGTATCATACCGTATAGATCAAATAATCACTCAATTGATGCAGCGATAAATAGATTCATTGAACTAAATACGAAATTGAAAGTATTAGAAATTCCGGGATGTTTTAACTTGGATATAAATGTTTTAAGTGAACTCAGTGAACTAAAAGAATTGAAAATAAATGACTCGATTCAAATGCAACCAACTTTATTAAGAACACTAAGCTCGACAAACGTTCAAACGGAGAATCTTGAACTAGATTTGACATACGAAAATTTCACTTCTGAATCACTGAATATCCTCGCAAATATAACGAATCTTACAGGACTCACAATCCGACTTCATCGTAGATTAACAATCGATAGTTTTATCCGTTTGCTACAAAAGCTGCCGAAGATGAAAACGCTTTACATTAAATTTGAAAAAGGAGACTATAAATACTTTATCGAAAATAAAACATTTTTACAACACACAAAATATTTATCGAAATTAACACTCGAATATAATCATGTACACAGACGTTCATTTCAAAAATTCCCAATCGATGAAGTACATTACAATGAATTTTTAGAATTGGTTAAAAATCGAAATAACGGCATAAAACTAACGATGAATTTCATATTCCGAGATGGGTTCCAAGCAATTCATATTTTAAACATGGCCCCAGATCTATTAACTATTGAACAGCGATTTTAAACTTGAGAATTATAAATAAACAAATCACACGCACTTTTTATTTTTGCGTATGAAAATAAAGCAATAAGAAATGAACGAAAAAAAAAAATCATACGCCCGTTCTAATCAAACCTCCCACCATTTTTCCCGATTAACCACAATTTATCTGATAACAAATAATTTGAATCGATTATATTTTCAAAATTCAATTACATTCTCCCTGAAAAAAGAAAATAATCGAAACTCAGTTCTTAAACGAATAAGATTTCATTTAATTGATTCACGTTTATCGTACAAAAAATTGAATTTTAACCAGTTTTAATAAGCAATTTGTTGAAAAAGAAGAGCAAATAAATCGAATTAATATTAATAAACAGTCATGACTAAATATGAATTGGCGGCTATTTATTGCGCAACTATTGAATCTGTAAAATGGCATCAAAATTGACGCCGTGACAAAAATAAATAAAGTTTACTTTCAAAATGGATTCTTTTCCCAAATGTCTAAAATTTTCTCTCTATTATCCACTTGGGATATTGATTATGGTCAGTATATTGATTTTATCGAAAATAGCAGTAACAAATTTACATTTGCTTTAAACTGTGGAAATATTTTTCTATTCAAAAATAGCTTGACTAAAAGTTGTAGTACTCATTAAGATTATATCGCTACTACTTACATACAATCATAACAATCCAAGTCATTAGATGAGTTTCCGTTAGCTACACGTACAAAATGACGAGGAAACCATTCATGGTGTTTCCTAATGATTTATCGTTGCAAGTGATTACCATTTGAATTGCAGAATGATGCATTGATGTGTCTAACATGGTAACAGGTAGAAATTTGCAAAAAAGAAAAAATCAGCCTTAAAAAATAAGAATAAAAATAGGTCGTAGGTGTTTTAAATGCTTAAAAATCATGATTTTTATTTTTTTTTTAAATTCGTTTCATCTGTTGTCTTCAAACATGTTCAAAACTTTATAAAAAAATATTATGTATCGTTTTGTGTGTTTTCATTTGATCTTGTGCCATAATACAGACAATTATCTGCGTAGCACATTATGTATATCAGAACAAAATCACACTCGTGAAACATTTTGAAATGGTTTCAACATTTTGAGCGATCTTAAATTAAAGAAAAAACCAAATACTTTTCTTACAAACATCACCGTTTCATTTTAACTTGAAAATTTAAATACAACCACGTAATAGTTCTACATATATAATTGGTTCAACCTGCTGCATGGTTTCTCTCAAATTGGCCAATTAATATTGACATACACATTGGTTTACGGAACAATTTTCTTTGATAAATTGAATTCATGCTTATCCAAACGACGATAAGCTTAAAACGTGAAAAAAAATAATGGCTCTGATGTTGATACGGAGCCAATTGATGCTTGTGCTAACATTTCTCACTAACAATTTTCCCTTACACATAATTTACAATAAATATTTATTAATGTAATTAAAACATCCCACAAAAGGTAAAAAAAATATGTCTTTAAGGAGTTACTCGGGCAGAATGTGTTCGTTTCGTATAGCAAATTGTAATAAACATAACAATAAATAAAATAATGTCTTAAATTAAAAAACGAAGTAATTTTGATGGTACAAATTAAACTCTCGAATTGTTGTTTACTCTTAAAATTTTAGTTAAAAATGCGACAATTGTGCAATTTTGATGGAATATTCATCGAGACTTTACATGTTAATGATGATCTGTACTTGTTCTGCTCATTCAGGTCGCTGCAAGATAATCTAATTTTGTTGATGAAATCGTATGTGAAGCCTTCGGGTTCTTTTTCGTTAAAATGAGTATTACATTTTTCTACATTTTGCATGGAAAAGTACATGGAATGTGAAAAAACACTATTAAAAATTATTTTTTGACGCAAGATATATTTTTGATTGCTATAGAATAAAAACAGCGTATGAAAAGGTTGCATTTCAAAGCGAAACACCGTCATACAAAATACAGCAAAAAATGTATGTAAAAACAACCTATGGTGTGCGACCGTATCATACGCTGTATTTATTCTAGAGAATTCTTTTTTCTTTTTTATTTAAAATCTAAATACTGGAAATTTACGATACTGGAAATGAGTATAATATTTTTTTTTATCTTCGAAATGTTACTTTTTCGGTTTTGCGCAGTGATGCACGCTTTTAGAGTCTTGAAAAACTTCTAATAATGCACTGAAATAGAGTACATTGATGATAATGAAATTATATTCAAAAATTACAACAGAATTCTCGGTAAAAAACAAATGCCCAAAATGCTCTCACAAAACTTTAACGTTAGCAGCCCTTTCAATAAATCGCTTGATTGCAGCGCCATACATACGTCAAAACTCAAAATAATCTATTCACTATATAAACGAAGCATCTACAGATGACGTCAATTTTCAGTGAAATGTCAAAGCAATTGCAATGTATCAAGCAGATTAGAGAAATTTGTGGTTGTTTTGTTTCAATAAAATAAATAATTGTATTGTATAAAAAAGGGAAGAGAGTGTATTTTAGCTTAGATGTCTTCTCCTCCAGCACCAAGAAAGCCTCCTCGTGGCGTAAAATACGGCAAAGATGCGGTAAGTATTATGAAAATATCCAAAGATGGAAAATAGAATCAGGTGCATTTTGATTGCTCCATAAAATAAACGATTGCTGATAAAGTATAAAAGTGGGAGGATTGTTATCACTGCAAATGAATAATCTTTGCCAATTAATTTGTCGGTGCCGAATAATTCTTTATTTTTTGTTACACAGAGTGGAAGCGGTCTGTTGGTTGCTGTAATTAAAACTCTGGATGCAAGTGAAACAAATGAGGAGCGACAGCAAGAGAAGCTAAAGATTGAGAAAGAGTTCAAAAAGACCGACATCATATTGAATAATTTGGTTGCAAAGCATGCTGGTGATTTAACTCAAGTGATGCAATTATTCGGTCAAGTATCAACGTCGATAACAACGTCACGCGCCAAAATTCGTACAGTCAAGGAGAATCTAATGACATGCAAACAATTATTACGATGTCGTCGCGAGGAAATTCAAAAATTGTACAAAGATACAATGCAACAGAAGTATTCATTGGAGATGTTAGAACAAATGTAAGTTCAGTTTTTGTGGTGAGACACCATCATCTGCATAATTTGTCATTTAACATTTTGCTTGTGAATTTTCAGTGATGAATTACGTAAGGTGCCTTCAAAAGTGCAATCATACACAAATAAACGTCATTATTTGCATGCGACACAGGTGCTTGTCAAAGCGATTGATTTGAGCAATGGTCGACTGCGCGATGTGGAGGGTTTGAGTGATTTGCGCACAGATCTGAAGAATCGATCGAATCAATTGTATTTGAAAATGATTGATGAACTGAAACGCCATTTATATCAATTGTCAACAGCTGAAACGCTTTCGAATTTTCAACGTCAAGCTTCGTCTATAAGAAGAAGCGATAATAATTTGGTGTCACCATTTCAACGTAATGTTATGCGAAGATCCACTGAACGTGCCGAAGCGAATGCCAAAATTCGTAAGGCACTGTTAGAAATGGCGCAAGGCTTCGATGTGGAAAAAACGGAAGTCATTGATAATTCCGAATTACTCGATACGGATCTTAGTCGAAGCTATTTCATTGGCATAATTGTCGAATGCTTTGCCCTTTTGCGGAAAATACCCGAATCGCTAGAAGCACTTCGAACACAAATTCAAACCGAGCTATTGGCAATTGTCACTCGAACAACACAACATTTATTTGCAATTCTTGCTGCCGAAGGAAGCTTAAATCAACAACCGCTCGATGATCAAACACATCCATTGCTTGAACTGCTCGGTTTGGTGCACAAACAGTTCAAATTGGTCGCAAATGCTCACACACTACTATTGAAAAATTATCTCAATGTGACGCAACGTCATGGTGTCGTCGTTAAACCGTATGATATTGCTGATTATTGGGGACAAGCCCAAGCGGTCGTAAGTATTTCCAGTGACCGGTTCGCGCATATTTTTATGCCTGATAGCTATGCTAAGCATAGCGGAGACGCAAGCCGCAACGCACCCGTCGCCATTCGATTCGAGCTATATTGTATGCGCACGGTCGTCTGCATAAACGAACATGTGTATTGTTCATATAGAGTGAACGGCGATGCGTCGGTTGCGTTTGCGGCTATGCTTGGCATATCTATGCTACCTAGCGTATTTAGGCAAGCATAGAAATATGCGCGAACCGGTCACTGAGTATTTCACGGTCTCAACCGAAATGACCACATTGGTTTGGATTCATATTTTCGTATTTCTGCTTTTTCAGATGCAATTACTTCTGACCGATTATTTAGATATTCAAAATGTAACGGCGGACGATCGATCAAATTCCACTTTTGCCGACCAAACAAATAATATTAATTCATATTTCAATCGTCGTAAAATCAATTCGTGAGTACCATTTCGATATTTCTTTAGTATTTTCAATCAATCGTATAAATTCCAATGAATTTTCAGGCGGAAAACACTTTTCAAATTTGATAAAACGTCACAATTGGTGCACGATGGCCCGAGAGAACATCGACGCAACGCTTCAGACATGTCGAATGACGAAATCTTGAACGCAATGAGTGAAGATCGAAATAAAGGCACAAAGACACTAGTGTGCCAACCAGATCCAGCGCTCATTCGCAAGATCTATTTGCCATTGCTGAGCTATACGCAAGAAATTGAAGAGACGATCAAATCGAAACCATTCAATGCATTCAATGACTTTTTAAACACTCACATAAAAGAGATATTTCTAGCAAAAGGCCATAATCGTAATTTACAATTAACAATTGATTCGTTGGCAAAGAACCACGATGCATGGCGTGCAATAATTTCACCAGAAGAAATGAAAAGCATGGGTTTAACCAGGCCACTGTTGCAGAGCACAGTATTAGTCGAACAAAGTAAATTGAATTGAACGAATTAATCCATGCATTTCAATTATTATTATATTCAATTTTCCTAACTTTTTCTATTCTTTTCAAAAGAAATTACGGAAACAAAGAGCCTCATACAAGATTTGCCAAAATATTCGGATGATTTATTGAAAACGGTTTGTTCGTTGCTGAAAATGTACCGTGAAACATGTCAGGCTGCATATCGAGGAATTGTCCAACCAGAAACAGAAGATAAGCGAATTTATAGTGTTGCCTGGCTGAAAGATGAGGATATATCTCGGTTTTTAAAGTAAATATTTTAACCCATATTTCTGACCCATCAACAGATAAAATATTAACATTACGAAAATTTTGAACAATTTTTAGGACACTTCCAAATTGGACCGATTTAAAATCGTCACGTTCAAAAGTAATGTCAAATGCCGACAAAAAATTGATAAAAGCCACGAATTTGTATATGACATCTGAAGAAGAAAGTCCAACGCAGGTGCAACAACGAAATATTCGTGAAGCCGAAATGTTAACAAGTAATTTGGGCGAGAGTTTTATTTCGCACCAAGAAATTCTCTCGGACATAAGCGTTTTGAAAGAGTTGGCCATTCTGCAAGAGAGCATGGTATAACAAAATCTTTTACAAATAAATTTTATTCAAAAAACTCTCTAATATAGTTCCAATGAAATGAATAGGAATGGTTCTCGCATCGAATAACTGAATTTGCCAATGATTTGCGGAAGCCAATCACCAATCGAGTGTGTACGGAATCAAATAATGACATTGATACTTCCATTACTATTAAAGATGGATCAATAAAGGTGCTAACGAATTTGGCACTGGAATTTGATGATTTGGCCAATACTTGTTTATTGGTGTTGCATTTAGAAGTGCGCGTGCAATGCTTTCATTACTTGAAAAGCAATGAAAAGAATACAAAATTCAGCAAATTGGCAAACGATTCACTCGAACCCGACAGCAAAGTATTGAAACTCACAAAGGTTCTGTCTGATATGGATGAAGCACTAAATTCAACTTTACATCCACGAAAGACAAAGGTATATTCAATTCATGATTTTCCTAAGTCTCGTTTTACGTCCTCAAGTATACTAATTCAATAAAATTCGTTGTGTTTAGTATATTTTCGAAGGTTTAGCACATTTGGCCGCTCGAATTTTGATAATGGCTTCAAATGCTATGGAAACAATTGATCAAGCAAGTGTTCAACGAATGTGCCGGAATGCGATTGCTCTGCAACAAACACTGAGTAGCATAACAGCCACGCGAGAAATTGCTCTCGATAATGCCAGAAATTTCTATGAAATGCTTTACATGGATCCAGAGGTTCGTATCCCAAAAGAGTACATCCAAAGAGTGTTACATGAAATCTGAATGATTTTCTTCAATTTGCAGGAAATTTTAGCGAATATATTACAAAAGGGTGCCCAGTTCACTGAGATGCAGTACTTGAATGCATTGCAAATGTCGTGCAAGGCAAAGGGTATCAATGACTCCAATACACTAGCCACATATCAAAATCAGCTCTCTGACATACTTGGTACAAAGCCTTCGCTTGGCGTCACTGTCTAAATAAAATACAAATACTTATCTGTCTATTCGAAAATGTTCATCAATTTTATATTGTTTGGAAGTTGTTCTCCTTTTTTTGAGTGAATGAAAAATCGTTATCTGTTGATCAAGAAATACATAGTAAAATAAAGCTTATGTGAGAGAGAATATATTCAAAGCAAATAGGTAAACTTGACAATATAAAATCACAAATAAATGATATATAAAAAAAATAAAATTATTAGCAAAATTCCAATAAAAACACACAACAATTTAGTTTTGAAAAGAATGATATTGTTTATTAAATGTTAGTATTTTGCGAATACAAAATTTATCGGTATGAGTTTCATTTTGGCTTGACAAAATGCCATTAAATCAAAACTGTAGTGAAGGGGAAAAAAATTGACGAGTAAATTGTTTTATCTTCGGCGTCGTTCTGTCTTTTTGGTTTTCTTCGGTCCCTTGACGAAACACCAGTCAACTGAAATCGCCTGGCCCAAGATTAAACTGGTGTTCAATGCTTCACGTGCTGCTTGCGCTTGTTTATATGTTTCGTATTCGACCAGAGCGTATCCCTTCAAGAAACCGGTACGTCGGTCCAAGTTCAAGTGAATGTTTTTGATGTCACCGTATTCACAGAATTTCTCTTGGATGTCATCTTCTTGTGCTTCTTCATGAATGTTTGTCACAAACAAGATCCAACCTTCGACTGAACGCTGTGGACCCGGCTCAAATTCGTCATCGTCATCATTTCGAACGCGTTCATAATTTTGAATGTGTTCACGAACATTGCTTTCGGTACCAAAACCACGTCCCTTACGTTTACGGGCCTTTTCCTTCAATCGAACAATACCTTGGTCACCGTCTTCGTCGACCTCAAACTCTTCGGCATTATCAATATCCAAAACATCTGCCATTTCACTGGATTTTACTTCTTAACACAGTTTTCAAAGTTTTTATCGTTAATTATTGGCTATATAATGGATTTTTTTTATGATTTAGCAGGAAAAAAATGTATGGATAATAAGTGAATTGATTTGCCGATGCTTTACCAATGACAGAGCGTGTTATTGTTTGACAGTTGATGTTGTATCAAAGTGAAAAGATGGCGAAGGCGAAATGCGAATTCAAAAGAAAGAAGAAAAACATTGACCAACAGATGGCGTTTAGTGTGTAAATTCAAACATCATTGCAATTTATTATGTGTAAATTAAAAAAAAGGATTTTTTATAAATATTTTTCCAAATGACATCTCCGTCTATGATGTTGTCGTCTGTTTTCACTTCAATCAATTGATCACGTTCGTTTGAATCATTTTTCAAAACACAGACCGCATTTTGGTCAATCTTAGCCTTTTCCACTAAATCAGTAAATCATGATGACATTTTTTGTCATTTAAATATGAATTCCATATTAAGAAGACAAACTAGAGTCTCAATGGTGAACGACTTACCTTCGCAATCTATTTAAATGCCAAATAAAAAAGTTCCCAAAGACCACGACGAAGAAACGAGATAAAATAAAACGACCACATTAGCTTATTTTCCACATTAAGCAATGATTTATTGCAGTTTATTATGCTTAACATCTAATAAACCATTGTATATTTCGTATGTTTTAGTTTTAATTTATTATCATTATCAGTGTCAGTAACTTCTATTCATCTTGTTTGCTAATAATAATACATAATTGTACAAATATGTGAACATGTTTGGTATTAGAATGTGTCATCATCAATTTACCAATTACATCGAATGATTTGTTCAATGCTGTTTATTGCAGTGAACATTAATAAATATAGAATACGTATAAATTTTGATACAAAAATTGAGATAAACAGTTTCTCGATTGATTTTCTTTTTTTTTTGTTATTTTTCAATTTAAATGATATGCGGAAACCAATTGACCGTATGATCAATTTGTGGTTCATGCAATACTAGATATGCTTGTGTTTTATTTGCGATTTGAATGTTTGATTTTATTTTGTTTCAATCTTTATTTCGATTACGATGAATGATGTAAGCAATTAAGGGCATTTTTTATGATTGTGAATGGAATGAGAGAGGATTGTTAGAGGCAATAATAAAGGTGAGCGATGAAATTGCCGTCATAAAGTCAGTCTATGTGTTTGGCTGCTCGTTGAACACATGTCTAGTTGGTAAAGACTTGATTCATAAATCCAACCGGTTGGAAGAAAGCACACCTTTTGAGCATTTTCGGCAATTTCACACGTTATACACGTATATTGGCGGAAATGGACCCATTTTGGTTTGCGTAAATAATAATATTTGCTATACAATTGCTATCATGACATATGTTAACTGGCTTGCGTAAATATTTATGGTTGTTGTTTTTTATTTTTGTTTCGTAAGCGATAAATGCTCCTTATTTGTATAACAAACACTTTTGGTAAGTGCAACGTGCGGCGAATGATGTGTGGTGAATGAAATTTATGAAGCATTTTGATATGTTAATCTAAATTTATGAACATTTTCGACGGTAAAAAATCTCTTTACAAAAAAAGCGTGGAAAAAATTCGATTCTTGTATATATCAAAATTCTAGCGGCTGTAAAATGTTCACTGGATTTTCGTTTTTAAAAAATATTGTCAGTTGTACATTGCAATCGGCGGTTGATTTTACTTCGTTTCATTATTTATTACGATCGATAGTTCGAAAAGCCGTGTTTTAAATTAAAATGAAAATAATCAAATATTTATTAGTTTGGCAGTTGATTTCAGTTGAGGATTTTTTATTTTTGTTGGAGATTAAGATGATATGATTTATGTCTTACACGATGAAGCTCAAGCATGTTTGTTTCGTTAATATATGAATTATGGGGTTCAAAAAATATGGCCGACTTTTCATTATTTCAGAGACTGTTTCTCAGAGCAACATGTGTGGGGAGGAGCGCTCTGAAGAGCTTGTGTGGAGCAAAATATTTAAGCTCATCCGGCTCCTCAGAGCACTCCTCCTCACATATATTGACTCTGAGACACAGTTTCTGCGTTATTTCGAGTATATGAATAGTATATGTCTTTTATTGGAGAATATATTTATCATTGGAGCGACGAAGAGTTTCTTCTCTTTAAACTTTGTGTCTCATTTCAAAATGATTGATAGTAAAAAGCTGCATTCGAAATCATTTTGCGGACATGGTAAGGATATCACGAGACATCAAACAATCGCTCTCCGTCACACCGTCGAATTTGTGAGTAAATTTAACATGCGGAACGGCATATGAAAGCTGAGTCGTTATGAGCATAGATTATATTTTGTCTGGTTATGGTCACTGGTTACATCCATACAAAATATTCAAAACATTTAATATAAGCATTAGATTTGTTACGATAATAAGTATTGAGTGTTGTCTTTTTTCTTCTGAGTATTCAAAGGCGTAAAATTCAAATAAAATGGATGAACTAAAAATGTTACGTTCGCTATATTTCAAAAATGCTCGTAATCATGTGTTGTGTGTTCTGCGTTTAGCGTTGAATAAAACATAAAGTGAATTGTTCAGTACATTCGATTAAATGCGGTGACCTAATGAATTTCTAATAACCCGACGAATGTTAGTTGTGACGTGATGAAACACGAAACCTAGATAAGAAAGGCTCTGAATTGTGGGTAAATACGTGTAGGTCTATAAACTACATCTTCCTAAATACGTTCATATTAGAGCCTGAGTATGGGTTTTTCTTTCATATATATAACTATTTATATGCATGTATAACTTGAATATAGAATTGAACTAAATTGATCCGATTTGCGGGTCCGTTCAATTTAAATATATACTTCTAATTATTGGTACAAAATTTAAGAGAACATTTAAATATCGCTGGACTGGCGTATGATTTGATGAGATCGATTTGCGAAAAGCTTGACTTCATATTTATTTTAAAGCTCTTTTAAATGGATTTGAATTTTTTTCTTGTTTTAACCTGAAATTAAAGCGCAAAATGTTATCCAAACAACAAAATTGAATTAAATTGAATTGAGTTAATGCCATTGCTGTTCCATTGAATTCCATTCATATCGTAGTGGCTGTCCTACATTAACTATCTATTATTCAAATAAAATAATATATATTCCCTTCTGCCTTAGTTCATCAAACATCTTCAAAATGTGTTCTTGATTTTTTTCCTTCCTTTTAAGTTATCAAATCACTTAAATTAGTTCCTAGTAAAAAAAAATAAATCGTAGAACGAAAACGACTAAAAAAATGAATATGTACAAAACGTAGTTTAAAAAACAACGAAATAAAATCAGACGTAACAGAAAGAAATATACAAGTTTGCAACTAACAAAACCAAAGATGCATGTTGTTGTTCTTTCGGTTGTGAATATAAATTGTTGGCTTTTCATGTTTGTATGTTTGTTTTCATAGAGATTTCACGCAATTTTATCAATTCCGTGCGAATATTCAGTGAATGTTACCGGTTGTGAGAGCATTTACATAAATGTCACGATCATGATCGGATATCATTGAGTAATTGGCTGAATCGCGATCTTCTGGAATGGCTCCAAAACCAATTAATGGATCATGTAATAGTTTTGAGAATGTGTGATGACCGGCACCCAAACCCAAACCATATGGGGATTCGGCATTTTGAACGTGCAATGGAACGCGTCGAATGAAATTTGTTGGATTTGCATAACGAACACCATTCGGAAGTGTTGTATGTAATTGTGGCTTTGATGCACTTGGCGTAATGAATTGTGGTATACGTTGCTGTTGTTGTTGATGACTTATCGGTAGTGGCATTGTGCTGCAGTGATTTGCATAATCGTAGAATGGTTCTGCCGATTGAACCCGATGCATGGGAAGTGTTGCGCTTGAAGTGTTTATGAAACTTGACATCACCATATTTGTGGAGCGACCAAAAGGCTCTTCATGTATGGCTGGCTGGGGTGGTGGAATTGCAACAACTTGTCGAGGTCGAATCACAACCTCTTCACGTTCATCAGTTCCCGAATGTATGCCGCTTGATGAAGAATCCGATGCAGCCCGTTCAGGTGGCGATGTTGAGCACTCTGTAGATACACTATCAGTGCACGGTGTCAATATATCCGTTACCATTATATCATGAGTCATTCCAGAATCTCCTCGTCGAATACAACGAGTCGTTATTTGTTGTGACATAATCTGAAAAATCAATAAAATTACATTTAATGCACCATTACATAGCTCGTTTTTCAGAGCAAAACAAAAAATTAGGAGATAGAGAAAGAGAGAAAAAAAAGCGAATGTATAACAATATTCTTACATGATTTTCATTTGTATGCACTGTGACGTTAACCGGATTGACAAGGGTTTCTGTTGATGTTGAATCGCCATATGGTTCGCTTTCAAGGGGCGGTGGTGGTGGTGGCAATGGAGGCTCCATAGCCACCAATGGTGGTTCCAATGCATATTTTGTCGATGCATATGTCACACTATCATCTCTCACTGAATCCAATAGTTTTCCTTCTTCCGATGTATCGTCAGCTGTATCACAATTTGCTGCCATACTGATTCGCTTTGAAATTATATTAAAATGCATGAGATCGTCATCTGCCGTTCCTCTTAGTGTAGCATACTCTCCTTCATCAATTTCCCTCGTAGAACCGGGCATACATACCGAGGTTCGACAGCTCGAATCGCTAAGCATTGAACGATGCGCGCGCGAGAGAATGAGAATAATAGAAACGTATATATTAAAGATTAGTCAATGAAATGGGTCAACATGCTCTAGCTACTTCACACAAAAAGGCAAACAGATTAACATAAAACAAAAGAGATGCAAAAGGCATACACAAAACAACATATATTTTAAATGAAAAACGCAAACAAAAGAAGAATTTTCAATCTGCCGTTGGCCTACGATGCAGATAATACTTATGCTCAATTCCATTCTAGTGCAATACAACAACATTTTAGTATGTTTTAAAACAACAACTAAAATCATCATCATCATCATCATCAACAGCATCAATGATGAATGAATCGGAAAATGAAAGCAAAAATAAAAAGAGATGCAAATGGAAAATCTTCATTTTCTAATATAAAAACCATTAAAAAAATTATATTCAAAATGAGTGAGATTGAAATATGAACACTCTCTATCACACACACACATGAAATAAAAGGGAAACGAAAATCAAATAGGACATAAAATCCATCTATTGAAGTGCACATCACTAAAAGCTTTATGTGTATACATTCATCAAACGAGTGCAATATGATTCAGAAGTGTAACAATGCACAGGCACATTCTCGTCGAACAATTCGATTTGGTTTTTTTCAATTCTGTTTTTTTTTTATCTTCTTTGTTGTCTGGTTTTGTGCGTGTGCGCGTGTTTGTTCACTTTTCATTCGATTAAATGTTGTTAGTTCTCTTTGTTTACCGCTTGCCGTCTTGTTCGTCAGCCAAATTATTATCGGACAACGTACATGGAACATCGTTGAATGTTACTTTCAATTTTGGTGAGTTTGGTGGCAATTTGGGCCAATAAATTGTTTCCTCGCCAGAACTGTCATTTAATGTGCCGCCCGCTGGTCCGGAGTGTGGTCGATTCATACGTGGCGACATAAGTAATGGTTGTTTGGCTGGCTCATTATGCAAATGTATTTGCCTCAATGGTGGTAGCTTGAAATTCCAACGACGCTTTGCAGTCAATCCCAACCATAAAAGAATCCAGAAAAATATGTGCATCACAGACGACAACGCTATGAGAATGGGATAAAATTCAGTTTTGTTGAAACATTAAATGAGCTCAACTAAATGCATTTCATGACTTGTTAACTATTGTTTGAAATTTATGCGGAAAATACCGTAAAAAAATGCCGTAGAAACGAAGGAATGACCCTCCGTTCTAAGCTAATTTTGCGTAAGCATTTCTTGATAAATGTTCTTCAATTAAATGAGAGACACTGTGTACTTGTTAATTCATTTACCTGCTAGTAAAACGGCACCATCCAAGCTTCCTTTGTAAATGGCACTGAAGTCATGCATGAGCGGCGCTTTAACAACAGCCAATGCCAATATAAAACAAAGTGATGCACAATGAGCAAAGTAAGCCCAGTTATCTCCGGTTTTTGTTGAAATCATACAACGATCACGCACTCGTGACGACAAACGTCCATGTCCGTACAAATATAAAATCAGTGATGATGATATTATGAGCATAATTGATAGAATGTAGAGAAGTAATGAAACAGTTCCGTTGAGCAGTAATGTTGGCGTCTGTTGTTCGTTTGTTTTTCCACCCCATTCGAACGTGTAACAAATACAAATTGTAAATTATAAATTTTATTTGAATATTAAATAAAACGGGAAATATGGTTGTGAAATTTATGGAAATACATGGGAAAACTCACTTGCAACGGAAGTTTTTGTCCAACGACTTGCAATTTATAAATGACCGAAACGCCGGCAAATACGAACAGTAAATCGATTGCATTTGCAATCATCTGAATGCTGAATATCAATGAGAACGCTTTCGATGTACTCCAGTAGACGCTCGGATATCGTGACGACCATACAATCAAAGCAAATACAAAATTTATGAACTCAAAACTCGGTAGCGTTGCCATCCAACTTTTCGTATCTGTGAATGAAACCAGAATAAAAAATTCATAAGTATACGCCAACCAATGAAACTTTAAACTACAGACGAAACGAATACGCTTCCGTCTTTTCGAAACATATTTCAGAAAATATGATTGATAGATTTTGTTTGTGGGTGCTGTGCCCATGTATGCGATACACATGTACCCACCGATTTCTTTGTTGACGTTTAAATAATGTTGCAAACAGCCGGCAAAACCGTTCAATTGTTTCGTTGGAGTTGTCTTTGTCTTTGTTGTTATCGGTGTTAGATTTTCCGGAACGGCGGTGTCAATCAATGCGGCGGCAGCGGCATCGTCTGGCGCCGGTTTCAACAAATTATCGTTATATTCATTTTCGATATTAACGTTGAACATTGGCGCGAGTATATCTTCGTCGGGCATGTCACCAAACATGTCATCGCTTCGATCGCTATCAATTTGTATTCGGGTACGAATTGTTTCAATCGAGCGCTTATACCGTTTGTTTGTGCGAATGGTTGATGGTCGGATTTCGATGATTTTCGAATCAGTTGAAAACGGTGTCGATGGAACGAACGTGCCTTCAGCAGGTTTAACGATGTGAATATTAGAGTCGCGAGCAATTGATGTTTTTCGATTACTGTTCATTTCGTATTCATTACTGTCCGGTGGCAATTCATCAATTGTATCGATTTTTGTAACATACTTTTTCGGTTGTGGCTTTGTACCGCTCCCACCAATCGATTGAGCCCCTCTTTCACCAAACTCATCGTTGTTTCTATCTAATTCCAGTATATTGTTCACTTTCGTTTCAAAATTTTCACGTAAATCGTCTCCACGACGATTGTTTTTCTCCTTTCTCGCCGTTTCGCCCGCATTATCCTTAGTCCGGTCTCTATTTGCATTCGAATGTTTTCTATTCGTACCACGTCCGCCTGTCGTTCCATTGTTACGATTTTTCGTTCGTGCGTGTTGCTTTCGATTATTAACATTCATATGAATGCCAGAATTTTCAGCGTTTATTTGCTTTTCATTTGGTTCACTGTTTGTCATAGTGTTCGCTGTTGTTTGAAGGGCTTTGTTTTTGTTATCAACCGAATTGAATGCAAAGGATGTTGTCGACACTGGTGACGGTGTTGTTGTTCGTTCGTTTTCGAGTTTTTCATGTGTATCAAAGTAGTCGTTCTCGTCAAATGAGCCCGAATGAAATTTTTCAATCAAATGAGTATGGGCCAGCTCATCATCTTCGTCGTCATTGAATGTGCCGGGCCCTCGATGATAATGTTTTATGAAATTTTCCTCTTGAACGGAATTATTTTGATACGGTGACGTAAATGACAATATGACCAATCGATCTCGATGCGGCACCATAAAATCCAATTCAGTGTGCCAAATGCTTTCTACAAAATATTAAATTGACGAGAGCAAGAGAAAGGAAAAAAAACACGTAAACATACTTTCAATCTCATGTCATTGAGTGTCGGTATTCATATGCATTAAATTTAACACTTGAATGACATCCACATTTCAGGCAGTCAAATGAAATGTTACATTTTCAATGAAGATAGCAACATTTTAATGCCATTGAACACAGACACACAACATACACTGGAATTTCGAATGGGTAACTGAATCGTAATTAAAATGTTTACAAACATATTCGAAATGTTGAAAATGTTTGTAATATTTGTCCATTTCGGGTTGGTTGCCACGTTGATGAGTTACTTGAATTTACTTACCTCGAGGTAAATTTCCATTTTCAATCAATTTGGATTCGATCAAAAGGCGGGGAATTAGTAAACATAACGCAATAACAATGTGTACAAATGCTGCTGTCGGACCCCCATGCGTCCAAATCGCCCTGCAAATACAATAAGTTTCAAATTACGAATTCATTCACCATACTCTTTAGGGAAATTCCAACAAACTTCGCAACAACACCGAAAACGATGAATGGATTCGCATTTAAGATTACGATTAAAATGTAATGTCTGCACAAAATGCTTACGCCGTGCAAATGGTTAGGAATTTCGATATAACATGGGTACATATAAAAATAAATGGTCGGATTCGAATGCATTTTGATAATAATAATTGCTTACCTCAATGTTCCGCCTTTTGCTTCGCGCTCTAGCCCGTCTTCAGGCATTGCTGAACATGTACCCGGTTTTGAAGACGCTAATTTTATACCGTCGTTTGCTAGATTTCCGACCTATTTCACGGTACGTAAGAAATAAATGGAAACAAACGTGAAAAAATGAGAAAATCCAGCTATCGCGGTCGATAAGATCCACCAAAATAAACGAACTCATTTAAACGAGATAAATATTATATATTACGGAAAATCCACTGAGATATTACATTTAATCTCGGGCGAAAAAGTTCTCGTGATTTCGTTGATTTTAGTATGATTTTGGTACGCGATTATTGCGAATACGGAAATTCACACCGTTGAAAACAACCCCGGGAAAACTGTACTCCATGAAGTAAAGACGGAAATCTTACCTTGAATATGGCCGATATAAAAAACAGGGGCAACATCAACAGTGCCAATCCGCACAGGATTATTTGTGAATTTAGCTCTGTCAATGCAGACGAGTCGTTGCGCCATTGTATTAAATAACAGCCTTTTGTTTCAAAATCCATTAACATTGTGAAACAGAACATTCATTAATGCAAATAGACAACGTTCGAACACGAAACAGAATAAAAAAAAAAACAGAAAAGAATTCATTAATAAAAGTAAAGTTTTGGACGCATTTCGTCGACTTTTCAACATCTTCTCACAGTCGAGAAGATTACACTGAAACTTTCATTTTTGGCACTTTGAAAAGTGCTTTTTGTTTTCAAAAGCGATTAAATGCCAAAAAATGCAAATTCATTGAAATTTTTTTGTTGTTTTCTTACCTAAAAATCTATAAGCCCCATTCAGAATTAAGTAGCCTTGGAAGTATGTGAACAATATACCGTACCAAATCGACCACAAGGAATTCAGATGATATCGATGCTTTCGCTTCACTTTCGTCTGCTCTGACTCATTGTTGCAATTGTGATGATTCGTCTTTGACGTGCTGAAATGTCGAAATGCCGACCGAACACCGATGGTAGAGGACGATAAGAACAGTCGTAAAATACATTAGAATACAATTGCAAGTGTAGAACTTCAAACAGTGAATGTTTTAATATAGTATTTTTTGTGTGTGCTGTTGGAAAATTGAATGGTTGTCTCGCTTGCTTAGGGAATCACTTGTAAAACAGGGCATTCCTTTGTTTTGTCTCCAACTTGTCGAGTGAAAAGCACTTTCGATGAAATTTTCAGCTTTTGTACTTTTCTCGCATTGTCGCAATGATTCATGACTTGGTCTGAGTGGAAGTGGTGCGTCACCACGGTGATATTTGGATTTCGGATCTCAAATTACACAAAAGAAGAAAAAGGTTTCCCACAATCTTTGTACGGCAAACTCAAATAAATTAATAAGACGTAGACAAAAATCACAGTTAAAATAGTCAAGTGTGGTGACGCGCTCACAGTGAGATAAAACCGATTTAACAAAAGGAAATTATGTTGTGAACCCTGTCACGTTTGCGCCAACTTTAAATTTTCTGCTTCATTTTCATGTTTAATGAATGTCTTCAAAGTCATGCCAAACAATTGTTTGAATTTAATTTGAACAGCAGCAAAATGACATTCTCAACTTTTCAATCTGCCAACATCATCTTCTTCTGCGTTAATAATTTGGTCGGTTGCCTTTTTCTTTCTTATAACCGAAGTGAAAGAACAACCGATCACTTCTTACGCTCGAGCCAAATTATCAAATCACATTATAAACTTATCAAGACATAATCCATTTGTGTGTGTGAGAGAATTTTCGTGACGAAAATTTCATCATGAACTCTGTGTGTATGTGTGTTTTCTTTCGGCAATTGAATTAAAAATAAGTTGCTATACTTACTTAATGGCATTGCTATCCGTCGTAATCACGCTGTTATTAATACTTGAGTTGAGGCTGGTGCACTGCTTTGATGATGCCGACACATTGAGCAACGACCGATTTTTCTTATTACATAAATCATCGTTATTTTCATAGCCAACCAATGAGCCGGTGATCGACATGTTGATGAATATTCAATATTTTCGTCTGTTTCTCTTTAAATCAATTGAATGCTCATCACATTTGGGTTTTATTTTGTATTTTATGTTCGTGTGTTTGTTTTTTAATCCAGACCCTTCGCGTTCCCTTTTAATGGTGTGATGGTTTGGTCTTTTGATTCAATTATGAATGGTCTGTTTTTCCTTTAACGTGTTGCAATACCTGCATTATGAAGATATAGAGCAGTGATGTGGCAATATCTGAAAAAAATGATTGGAATTGAATCAATTAGATTTCGAGAGAGCAATCAATTAACTTAATTAGACATCGCTAAACCGAAGCATATTTTAACTAATTTAACTAGGCTAGTACTTCACATTTGATTACAGTTATTATGCACATAAACCATGTGCAACTATATTGAAACCATTATGCATCAGTCGGTTGAGTAGCGAATATACAATAAGTTCCAGAGCACATTCATACAGTAATACATCGACAATGTATGTATGCATAATGTTCTAAATTAAAAATCAATTGAATAGTAGCAAAAAATGAGTATTAACAATACATTTTACGCTGGAAATATTTTAATTTCGTATAAGCCGTGCGACGTTGTTGCTTTGAGTTAGTAAAATGGTGAAAATGTTTGTCAATAATATAATTTATTTTCGAACATTTAAACATGACATAGATTTTTCCATGTGACAATATGATTGAGTCGTGAACGAAGAGTGTCAATTATTGAATTCATGTTCAGGCTAATGTTTGGAATGAATGTTTCACCACCGAATGAAGAAGCAAATTCAATAGACTTGGTCACATCGCTCCGATAAATCTCCATATTTGTATACAAACAAAGCCATCTGGCACACGGATAAAATTGAAATACACATATATATTCGGCTGGTGTGAAAAGTTAATTGGATTAAGTTTTTGTGAGTTCGGAATACGAGACTGAAATATGTTCATAATTGAATTTTTCACTTAAGTTTAAAACGCGAGCATGCGGTAGTGGAAAAAAGCACATTGTACATTTTCCATTCAACTCTCATGCAAACATACATTGGATATATTGGTAATGAATGAACCTGGAGTTACGACACACCGAACAAAAAAATCAATATAAAATATGAATTTTTAACTGTATTTCAATTTAAACCCATGTGAACTATGATTAATAGTTAAATGGAGCTTAGCCACGCAATTCAAACTTTACCCATTGTATGAGAGTTGTGTAGTGAACTGGCACATGTTTTTTTCTGATTCATGAAAATTCCATCATTTCATCAAAATGTCATTAGCGACATATAAGTACTTGTAAGTACGATGAAATGAAAGAATCATTAAGCCAGATTGATATGTATGGTAAACGCAGCTAATGATAAATGTCGGGTCAATAATGTCAAATCATTTCGATTGTTGCGGTTGAAAGATAACACTTGCACAATGACGTAGACTTCAGCGAAGAAATTACAAAGTTTAATTGAGGTTGGCTTTTTTTTGGCCACAATCCAAAATGAAATTAGTTCTCGAAAATTCGACTTGACTTTTCTCGAAATTTGATATGCTAACTACAATCATTGAGCCATATACAAAGTGAATGTGACATTTTCAAAGCCACATAAAGTTTTGCTGATCTCTTATGAAGGGGATTTTTTTGTTTCATTTACCGCAAATCCTTCTTAATTAATTACAAAGCTTGCTGAAATGGTTTCGCCACTTTTAAGGGAAATTGAAATGACCTTTTGGTCTCATAAAAAAGCACTTCTGCCTCGATGTCCGTATACCCAAAATCTACAACCTCCACTACCCCCCGAACAGAACACGAGTGTAGAATACAAAGGTATTGGAAACTCTTTTGTGTAAAGATGAAATCAAAATCACATTCCGAAAGATGTAATACCATGCGCTGCCATGAGCGATTTATTCACGCACACTGATACGAAAACTTATAGCAATTGAACCGGAAAATTGGTATCCATAAATCCGGTGTATATATTTCAAATACGATTCGAATAGGTTTGAGTTTCTTCTGGTTTTTTTTTTCTTTATTGTTTGAAACAAATGCCGTATGTATAATTGGACGGGAATGGAAGCAGAACAGGAAAACCATCCACCGAGAAACCCTTTTTTCGGATACAAAAAGTCGACAAAATATTATTAGTATTATTACAAGTTCAACCGAAATCTCCGAAGGAATTAACAAAATCCACTAAATCAAATTTATTTATTCGATTTTTCACTGGCAGAGGTTATTTTTTTTTCATTTTGTTTTCTCACAATGGCCGAAAAGCAATTTCAAAAAGTACAATTGTTCTTCGGAATAAAATATAGAGGAATAAAATGGAGACATATAGAAAAGAAAAAGAACGAAAACCAACCATCAAGTCAATCACGAATCGTGTTCACTTTTTAAGTATCAATCTGATTGTGATTGTTATTGCGACAATATTGTTGGTCACACAATATATATAATTGCATGTGGTGTGTATTTTCACTGGGGAATTTTCTTTGATTTCGTTTTTATCAGCGTAATGTTCGACGGCAAAGAAAGTGAAACGCGATTTGACGATGCCACATTCCGTGGAAATGGTTTCATTTCATTTCGTTGACCCAATCAATACAACATTGACTTTGATTGTTTACTTCTTGTATTATTAATCGTGTAATTTCGTTTTATCCATGTGTACGACTCTTTGTTCGTCCGATCAAAACAAGTATGCAAACAAATCAATGTAGCGTGAATCCGACCGGTTCATTTCATTCAATTTTTGAATCATATTCAAGTTGAAGTTCTTTTGGAAAATCTTCGTCTTATGTTTTCCGTTATTATTTAACATAAGAACAACGGCAAACAATGGGATTTCTTAATTTGTTTGTCAAAGATGCTGGGGAAAAGAGACATATTTCCGAGTGCAAAATTCAGCGTAACTTTATTCACAGGAGATAGGTTCTTACTTTGTTATAAGGGGCCAATGTTGAACAGAAAAACGGTACGAGATGCGATTCGTATCGTGTGCGCTCTCTATCACTTTGATGTTCGTTGATTGCGTGCCAGGCATAGCATTGTTTGCTGTTGGTTGTTGATTTTAATATAAACTACAACAGCCGTACACAAAAAAATATATATTAATGCCACACTCTCGGGCGCACACGAGAGAAACATCCTCTCTGCAAACGACATTTTTCCACTTATCATTTCCAAACAAATGCGAAATGGCAAAAGTTGTTATCGCTGTCAACAAAAAAAAACTTTACGGAAGAATATGAATAAAGAACCATACTACGAATGTCACAAGAACGGGTTTATCATTGAATCCTTTCAATTGTGTGTGTGTTTTTTTATTTTTTCCTCTCTGCTTCAATGCGACTCATAACGGTCTCTTTTCGGATAATATTCGCCGGATTCATAATAACAAATGTCCAGATAAATGGGTGAAGCGACCACACATATAAACAGCCCAAAGTAGTTTGCACTTGTAATCAATATGCATCAATATTGATTGTTTAGGTTTATAGCTTTTACGAACCTCAACAATTTTCCATTTTCACAATTTGGGTCTTGTTTGTACTCACAGTACACGTTTATCCATTATGCACGTTCACGTCTGGGAAAATGTTTTTTGATAAATAAAAATCAAAAATTGCTCTCCCCTCCAACCAAAATCGTTGAATCAGATGAACATTGCGTTATGTTATTCTTTTTTAATATGTAACGAATCGAATTTCTAAACGAATTTTGATCGATTTTTACAAACTGCCGACAAATCAAAAGCATTTTTCTTTCTTTATTCTCGAAGGAAATTGAGAATCGACATTCCATTCAATGCATTCCGTTTATTTTCTTTTGATCGCTTCGAGTGTTTTTTTGTATTTCGTCTGATTTGAATAAAAGGCAAACATTTCGCTCGAATGAAAATGATATGCAAATATAGCTTGTGTTTTGTTTTGTTTAAGCAAAAAAATGCCAAAAATATTCAAATTTCAAAAATGCAAAATATCAAGAATTGTGCCAGGTTTCAATTTTTTTCTTTGTTTGCTTCTATGGAGTGATAAATATTTTCTGTTTCTGATTAAATTTCATGGGGAAAATCGTGTGATAGACATTTTCGTACCGTACCTCCTGCGCTTCTGTCTCGCACGCACACATTCCGAAATAAATAGAAACATAGTCCAAACACCGGCATAAAATCACATATAAACAAGCGAAAATATCGCATCTGTTGTATGTTGGAATATGTATCGAACGCTGTGCGTCGTCTTGGAAACACCCTCAAACACAAGCGTACTTTTACAATGAAAAAGCATATCACACTCGGCATTTTGCTAGCCACCTCTGAGCACGCACACAATTACAATGCGCCCGAATAGACTGGATATTCCGGTATACTGTATCGTGTGCCATGGATTTTGGCAAAATTCACAAGCGCCATTGTGTTGGTAGAGTTTGGGAGTCAAATGTGAATAGCATTGTTAGAATGCGGCGAAATGGTCTTTTTTTTTAGCTATGATAAAATGCTGTTTATTTTAGCGCATAACTTCCCAAAACACTATACGTGTGTGTGTGTGTGTTTTGTCTGTGCTATTCCATAAAAACGTTTTGCTTTTGCCTATTTGCCAGCTGCAGCGAAGCGCACACCGTAAAATAGATAATAAATTTAACAGGAAAAGTTTTCCAAGTTGTTCGTTTTTCTCTTCCATCGACAAGTATTTTCCTCGCATTCATCTTATAATTTTTACTTTCGAAGTCAAAGTGTAAGTTTTGCATCGTAATTTACGAATGCTGCTGCCGCCGCAATTTTTCGCCTCCCGAATCTGTCTTGCTATAATATTTTCTGTATCTGTGTGTTCAATGTGTTTTGTCATTTTATTTCGAAAAATTTCCATATGCCATTCACAGGCAGCATCGATGCCATTCTCTGGCTTCCATCATTCAACAGTAGAACTTTAAATGTTTGATGTTCTGGAACGGAATGCGATTATGCCATTGCATTCTAACAACAACTTGAATTTCATTTTATGGGTCTTTCGGCACGGTGTTTGAATGAGAGAGTGCGTAATTTTATTGTCGACGTGAATGTGAATGTTTATAGTAATTGAGCTTGCTTCCAACTCCAACGTATCTTCAGATACACATACACACACACAAACACACGTATGCAGCATTCCCTTGCTATAATTCATTTGTGAATGGATTGGCAAAAGATTAGAATTAGATTGCACTTGATGGAAATGGAGCGATTTTGACGAGGGGGAC